AAAACCATTGGTCCATCTAGCTTAGCATTGTCTACCCTGACCACCAGCGCCTCTCCAGAGTTTCAGGCAGCCAACATTTCCCAGTCCTAGCTGGAGATGCCAGGGATAGAATCTGGAGCCTTGTTCAGGCAGAGCAGATGCTCTACCACTGAACTAGGGCCTTCCCCCTTAAGGCGTGGGGAGTTCAGATGGGGGCCTCAAAGAGAGATGAAGGTTTAAAGCACCCATATCTCCCCAGGTTCTATTTTGTATCACACATCTCCCCTCCCAGTCGCCATCCCCATTTGCGCTGTTTCTTTCTTTTTTAAACTGCGCATGCAGTTGCTAATTGCTGCTAATATAGTTTTCCTCCAAGAGCTGGCCTTCATTCTATGAACTTCATACAGAAGCTGTGGGTGATGGTTTGACCTCCTACAGACTCAAGTTTAGATTCTGCTCGGCAGTTATGAAGCAAAGTGGGGAATGGCAGGAAACAAGTTCCCTTCCTACCCCTACCCCTCTCCACCCCAGTTCTAAATGTAATTGTTTGCCTTAATCTGCGAGTCTCCTCTCATGTGATGCCCAAGTCCTCTTCTCTGCTAGTTGCAATGTTTCTCATCACCCACAGTCAGTGGCAGGGAGGTCCATCTTTCTTCTATCATTTCCTCAACAACTGGAATGCTGCCCTAGCAGGTGCAAGGGGGAGGTGAGTGAGTGAGACCTCCCTGCTGCTGATTATTAGGGGGCTGCATTAGGAGCATGTGATATATTCCTAATTCTCACAATAATTAATTCAATCATACAAGTCCAATTCCCAAAGGTAAGATTTCACCGACTTCATAATTTTTATGGGTTTTTTGTTGTTGACAAAACTCTTGTAAGCTTCAGTGGGCTATGAGGTACCACCTAGTTTTGCGTACTAGAGTAGTAACATGTGACTATTACATTTATAAAGCAGGACAAATACCTCCTGTTATGTAAATTGAATAAATGACGCTACAAATATGATCCTGCACACAGCAGGTGAGGATCAAAATAATCAAGCCAAGATGACCAGAAAATCTCTTTTACTTTAGGATTTAGGCTAAACAAAAGCAGGTCTGATTGGTTTTTTGGTTAAATGGAGGTGAAAAAGAGAAAGTGAAAGGATATATTAAATGCGCTGCATGAGAAGATTTTCCAGAAGTCTCAAACCCTTCTTTTCTATTCCATACCGCAAATCTGCCACATCAGATCAGTGAAAAATGTTTCTGGCCAAATGCAGTTACAGTTTTCAATGTAGTATTAAAACCAGCATAATTTGCAAAAGAAGATACTGCTTCCCATATTCCCTGTCATTCTGATACTTTATTTTAATATTTAAACTATTTCTTCATCCTCCAACATAATAATAGATTTAATTAAGATTAGCAAACCATCTTTCAACTAAAATGCAAGCACTTATTTTGCTATGCAGATGTGGATCAGTCAGTTGCTGTCAGGGAGGAGGAAATTGGTCAATTTTCAGTTTCTCATTTTTGCCACTTTTCAGCACCAGTTTGCAGATTTTTATGTTCGCCTCTTCCAATATACACATTTTAATTTTGCCTAATATATATAGGGGTGGTTTTGTATGCTGTTTTCACTAGTAAATTCGTTTTTATGCATGCTATTCCTGAATGGAGACATTCTGCAGATGTTTTGAGGATTGGAGAAAGGGTATCACAAAAGTATAGAGAAGTGCACATTTCAACAGAGAGCTGCCTTTCCGTCCATGTACTGTTTTGGGAAGTGAGAATTAGGTAGGCTCACATGAAAAGTCAACCAAATTCCTCCCCCATCCTTACCTGCTGTGTGGAGCAAGCTCTTGTTCCTTACACAGTGGGTATGCAGGCTTCCCCCCCATTTATAACATGTCATTTATGAAGTAGTTTATAGGCAAGCTTCCCCTGAAAGAAGAGCTGGTGCTACATTTTACAGTACAAAAGTGGTGATTTGAGACTGACCTTGTGTTGACCTCCTTAAGCCTTATCGAAAATAAAGTTAATACCACAGTATTTCTAGTCACGTTCTCAAAAAGTATCTTAAAAGCTGCAGTATTAAATATATTGCTGTGCAATAACATTGTATAATAATAATAATAATAATAATAATAATAATAATAATAATAATAATGCAGTGATACCTCTAGTTACGAACTTAATTCGTTCCGGAGATCCATTCTTAACCTGAAACTGTTCTTCACTAGAGGCATGCTTTCGCTAATGGGGCCTCTTGCTGCCGCTGCGCCGCTGGCACATGATTTCCATTCTCATCCCGGGGCAAAGTTCTCAACTCGAGGTAACTCTTCCAGGTTAGTGGAGTTTGTAACCTGAGGCGTTTGTAACTTTAGGTACCACTGCAATCCCATTTTGCTCATTTTTTAGTTTCCAGAGCTTAACTACATAACAACAATTAGTTGTTGAAGTTTTACACAGAGATCTGCTTCGATTTTTAGCCCCTGCAAAATTAATAATTGTTAACATTGTTAACTTCAGTTAATAGTATGCTTTTATTTCTGAGAGTTTCCACTTCAACGTAAACTTCTTACTGATATGTAACAAACATATATGGACTAGGTGAGAGCCAATAAACTGAAACGCAATCCATGTAAGACAGGCACTGTTAGTGGGCAGTTCCCTGAACTTGACAGATGGGAGGTGGCCTGCTCTGAAGGAGCAAGTTTGTAGCTTGGGGGACTCCTGCATCCACTGCTGTTGCTTGAGGGTCAGGTGGCCTTGGTGGTATGGAGTGGCTTCCATCAGTTTCCATCAGCTGGTGGTCAGCTGTGCCTCTATCTGGCAGGGATAGCCTAATTTCTGTTGTCTATGTTCTGGTAACCCCTAAGTTAGATTACAGCAACACATTATATGTGGGGCTGCCTCTGAAGATGGTTCAGAAACCTCAGCTAGTGCAGAATTCAGCACCTGGGTTGCACACTGGGGCACGATGGTTTGAGCATATAACGCCAATCATGGCCTGACTGCACTGGCAGCCAGTTAGTTTCTGGGTGCTTGTTTTGATCTACAGAACCTTAAACAGCTCAGGACCACAATGCCTCAAGGGCCACCTCTCCACATATGAACCGACCTGGACCCTGTGGTCACCATCTGAGGCCTTTCTTTGTGCGCCTGCGCCACAAGAGGTCCAGAGGGTGGCAACACGAGAACGGGACTTTACTACGGTGGCCCCGTTTGTGGAATGCTCTTTCCAGACAGGCTTGCATGGCAAAATCACTATACAGGCAACCCTCAATTCACTCTTTGTACAAGGAGAAGGCTATGTGCCTTTAATATTGATGTAAAAGAAGATCTGCATTCCCAATCACCAAGAATATCCTCATACTGACTTGTGGTTCTCAAAAACGAAACAAAAATCCTATTATCCATCTTCAAAACAACTCTCCTGGTAGACATGGGGGTAAACTTTCCTTTTTCTTAAGTAAAGCTAGATTTTGATTGGACACAATACAGCAATACCTCTGGTTATGTACCGTCCTCCTTGCGAACGCTTTCGGTAACGAGCTCCGCTAACCCAAAAGTAGTTGCTCCTGGAAGCAAACTTTGCTCCGGGATGCGAGCTGAAGTCATGCGCCGGAGGCCCATTAGGGAAAGTGCTCCTCATGTTAAGAATGGTTTCAGGATAAGAATGGACCTCCAGAACAAATTAAGTTCATAACCGGAGGTACCGGTGGTACCTCGGTTTACAAACTTAATCTGTTCCTGAAGTCAGTTCTTAAACCAAATCCGTTCTGAAACCGAGGCATGCTTTCCCTAATAAGGCCTCCCTTCACCAGTGCCCTTCCACCATTTGGCTTCTGTTCGTAGACCAAGGTAAAGTTCGCAAACCGGGACACTACTTCCAGTTTTGCAGAGTTCGTAAACCGAATAGTTCATAAACAGGACTGTTCGTAAACCCGAGGTACCACTATATCTGTTTACATAAATTTATATAAAAACCAGAATTTGGCAAATTACTTATTATATGTTTAGTAGTAGCCTGTACTTAGAACTAAACTACAGGCAAAATGTCCTTTCCTCATGGCCCAGATTTTTGAAACATTTTTTATTGTTGTGCTGACATTTGTAAAGTTTTAACAAATGCCTCGGGAAAAGGTCGCCTCCCAGAGACATTTTCCCCCTCCTAGAAACCTCTAAGGACAGTGAGTGAACGTTCGCCTGATAGATCAGTTCTGATTACAAAGATTATTCCGTCTTTTCTTCAAGGAATTGTTTTTCAACATGATTTTGATTGGTTGGCTGGAAATATTTTTCCCCCATGATGTCACTGGCCTCAATGATTTATTAGAAATGTATCCTCTTATAGCTTTCTCAGTGCCCATACCTGCATTAGAGTTGACACCCCAAACACTGGATGTAAGTTAAAGTTGCAGTGGCTGTTGCTGCCTTTGATCCTCAGTGCTCTCTTCCACCCCTTCCTCATCTGCTCCAGGGCTCCAGGTAAACAACATCTGACTCGCATAATTTAAAGGAGATTGTCTGGTGTAGGGTAAGAAGTGACGATTGTACTATTCATGCATATTGTATTTTTTACAGATATTTTAAACAAACTTAAGTTTTAAAATATTTGAATATGTCACTCTTTAAAGTGTAGTTCTAGAGAAAGACTCTGAGAAGCTTTCCATCCACTTTGGATTTGATCTGAACAACCTCAGCAGTGCTGTGATGCAACGATTTGAGTAGAGTTGAGTGGCTCCAAGCACAACCCTATGTGTATTCAACAGTTTCCTTTCCATTTGAACTTAAAAGTCATTGGAAGTACACTGTCTTTGAATATTAGTGGGTTTCTCTGTTACTTTTCCAGATGTCTGAGCTAATGGCAATTGCTGTATTTTGTGGCAAGGAATTGCACAAGTTCATGATCTGTTACAGAAATATCCATTCCCCACCCTTTTTGCTAACTTATTTGATGACTTTCAGTTACTGTAGACCTGGAAGAATTGGTTGGTGGCTATTTTGGTAAGAGAATGTTTATGTTTCAGTGAACTTTGTTGTTGTGTGTTAAGTTTCATAGGTTATAGTGTTTATTCTTTTGCTATGATAATAAAAAATAAAAGCTGCCTTGTAACCTTTTGGAGAAGGTAGGGTAAAATTAACCTGTGTAGGAAAATTTAACTCTCCATATAATTAACTCAAGGCTTTTGTGTGACAGTATTCACTGTCTAGCACCATGGGGGTGCGGGTTCTGCCCATGACAGCCATTTTGATATATTGATAGCATTTTTATCAATATATGAGTTCCAGCACCTCATATTTTATATATAAAAAGCACTAAATTAACTGCTATCAGGCTTCCCCTTTAGTCATATTTTTCATAAATGAGACTAAATCCTCATTTTTTAAGTCCATAGCCTCCAACATTCCTTAGGTGAAAATACATTTCTTACTCCCCTGACAAGAGACTCTCCTTGACCCGCCCCCACACATTTCCTATCAGAAGAAGGGCGAGTGCCGCCACCAGGCCACAACACACATGCCTTCCCCCGTTGGAAAAAGAAAATTAGGTCGTTTTGGTAGATATGATATAAAGGATTAAGCAAAAATGAGTTGATGAAATTGATGAAACAGAGGATGTTTAATTATATTATTTTAAATTAAAATACGTAAATGAAAATAAGGTTAGAAGGATTTGCTGGAAATATGATCTGAACTAGAATACAAAATTGGGAGGTGAGAGGAGGTCATGGAAATAAGTAAAGGGAAAAGGTTATGTAAAGGTTTAATCTGTTTTTGTTCTATTCCAACTCAATGCATTTTTATATTTTTTGTTTCGTCTTCTTTTTTATTCTATTTTATTGTTCACTTTTTTCTTGTTATTTCTCGCTTTGTTATGGTTAAATTTTTCTTTGTATTTTGTATTGTTTTTCTTTCTCTTTTTTGTAAATTTAAACTTGGAATAAATATCATTTTTTAAAAAACAACAACAACAACACACATGCCTTCCCCCATCCTGACCACCCCTTAATCCCGATTTTATTTTATTCTTTGGTAGATTTACAAAAAGAAAACACGCACACCAATAAATACATTTTAGAAAGGGGGAAGATTAAGCGCAGGTAAACAAAGCATTCTTTAAAATAAAATTAAAAGACTCCTTGCGCTGCGCTGCGCTGCGCTGTTTCCACCCAGGGCAGCCCTGCCTTCTGCATGGCCCTCTGAGATGGCGCATCACACAGGATTGGGTTTTGGCCTGGCCTGCCTTTAGCAGATGCTGCGCTGGGGTGCAAATATCCGCCCAGTGCCCCCAAATTACCACGGATAGTGTTGGGGTGGCTGTCGCTGCGCACTGCCAGCCATCCGGGGGGCGCAACTCTCCCCCATGCTGCTGCAGGAGAGCGATCTCCGCAGAGGCTTGGGAATGAACTTGCGCCCCTCCTAAGCCTCCTCGGGAGGAGAGCGATCCCCGCAGAGGCTTGGGAGGGAAGCTACACGCCCACCAGCCTTATGGTTGGCTGGGCGCAGCTGGTGGGCGTGCAGGGAAAGGGGAGGCTGCTGGCAAAGCTGCACAGCTCCCCCACTTGCTGGGGTGCCCCTGAGAGGCCGGCGCCCTGGTGAGATGCACCACTAAGCCCTATGGGAAAGACGGCTCTGGCTTTGGCAGCTGCAACCGCTTCTTCTCCTCCTTTCCCACTCTCCAGCAGCCACTTCGAGGTGCCCAAGGGAGGAGGTTGGCAGCCATGGAGAGCCAACTGTATGCTCCCTCGCAGCCGCCAACACCATCACTTGGAACAAGTGCTGGCTCATCCTCCTCCCAAGCTTGGTGGCGAGTGAAATAGGGACCTTCCGGGATCAAATCATAAACCGGGATGGCTTTCGTAATTCCGGGACTGTCCCTGCGAAATTGGGACACTTGGAGGGGATGTAAGTCTTTCTTCATTAGAGAACCTCAATTAAATTGCCACCATTTGCTTCTTCATCTCTACTCCCTATTCATTTTGTCCATGTTATGCCATCCTATAATCCTGTATCTTGTGGCCAAATTGCACCTTACATTGTTTCTGTTTAGTCGTTCAGTCGTGTCCGACTCTTCGTGACCCCCTGGACCAGAGCACGCCAGGCACTCCTGTCTTCCACTGCCTCCCGCAGTTTGGTCAGACTCATGTTTGTAGCTTTGAGAACACTGTCCAACCATCTTGTCCTCTGTCGTCCCCTTCTCCTTGTGCCCTCAATCTTTCCCAACATCAGGGTCTTTTCCAGGGAATCTTCTCTTCTCATGAGGTGGCCAAAGTATTGGAGCCTCAGCTTCACGATCTGTCCTTCCAGTGAGCACTCAGGGCTGAATTCCTTAAGAATGGATAGGTTTGATCTTCTTGCAGCCCATGGGACTCTCAAGAGTCTCCTCCAGCACCATAATTCAAAAGCATCAATTCTTTGGCGATCAGCTTTCTTGATGGTCCAGCTCTCACTTCCATACATCACTACTGGGAAAACCATGGCTTTAACTATACGGACCTTTGTTGGTAAGGTGATGTCTCTACTTTTTAAGATGCTGTCTAGGTTTGCCATCGCCTTTCTCCTAAGGAGCAGGCGTCTTTTAATTTCGTGACTGCTGTCACCATCTGCATTGATCATGGAGCCCAAGAAATAAAATCTCTCACTGCCTCCATTTCTTCCCCTTCTATTTGCCAGGAGGTGATGGGCCCAGTGGCCATGATCTTAGTTTTTTTGATGTTCAGCTTCAGACCATATTTTGCGCTCTTCTCTTTCACCCTCATTAAAAGGTTCTTTAATTCCTCCTCACTTTCTGCCATCAAGGTTGTGTCATCTGCATATCTGAGGTGCACCTTACATTAGATAATGTTTAATTAGATAGTGTCTGTTTTAATTTCAGTTTATAAATAGTGGCTGTGGGGAAATGGGGCTCATGGGCATGGGGTCAAAAGGCAGAAATGAGCGGGTAAACCTTTCTTTCTTTCTTTCTTTCTTTCGGTCACAAAATAGTCCTGATGAAAATGCTTCTGCCCTCAGCTGCTTAATACCTCAGGAGGGAATCTGCTGTAAACACTCATTTTAGTTTCCCTGCTGTACAGTGGTACCTCAGGTTACAAACACTTCAGGTTACAGACTCCGCTAACCCAGAAATATTACCTCGGGTTAAGAACTTTACCTCAGGATCAGAACAGAAATCATGTAGTGGTGGCGTGGTGGCAGTGGGAGGCCCCATTAGCTAAAGTGGTACCTCAGCTTAAGAACGGACCCAGCTTAAGAACGGACCCCTGGAACGAATTAAGTTCGTAACCAGAGGTACCACTGTAATGAGTACCATCTTTGGAAGGGACATTTTCATTGGGAACAGTGCACAGGGGAAGGTTGAGCCAGCTTTATAGACAACACACACACACCCCGCCCCCAAAAAACTGATTTGCTCCACCTAGAATTTTTATGCTGGCTATTTGGCCATAATAATAAAACATTCACCTAGAATTTTAGCAGAGTTTGGCATGGGCGAATCTATAAACATACTGTAGCTATTTGAAAATGAAAGACTATGAAAGAACATACAGGACTTTCCTTTATTTTTCCTCTTTAAATGCTGGCAGTAATAATTAAATTTTAATAGTATCCATACTTACTAGAAGCCTTCAGATTGCTCAGAATAACTGTTAGGAAGAGTAAAACACTAGGAATTCAACCTGTGTGCCCACCTTGAATCTGCTGAAGCCTCATAAGATAACAGAAGGCAGTGCAATGAAAGAATGGGATGTTTCAGGACATCTCAATGACGTTTTTTATTCAAACATTATATACTCCGCTATCAGCAAGAAAAGAACTGTGATTAGACATACATAGTGAGTGTGATGGATGAATAAAATGCCCTAAGCAACATTCTTCATTTCTTAAAAGTCCACATTCATTCAAATATTCTAGATGCTTTTCATCAGCTTTCACTATTTCTCCTTTTCTAATAAGCCTCATGCATTTAGAAAGTAGTGTATTTAGTATTCTCAGTTTTATTTTCTAAATTACATGCATTTTTCTTTGGCTCTGTGAAGTGACAGCAGGCATAAAAAGAAGCCAGTGTTTATTTTAGCTTTTCCTGACCTACTTTGGCTAATTGTCAGCCACAAGGACATCGCCAACAAAAGTATGACATACATTCGTTGTAATACATGAACACAATCTTATTCATGCAGTATATTTGATATAAAGTTGCTGCAGGGAAGTCTAAAAGGTGGCTGTGAATTGAAATGCTAAAATTATGTTCACCTTTGATTTCCAAGTGCCCTGGACTGGCAAAATGGCAGTACCAGTAAGGGGGGAAACTATTATTTGCAACCACTTCATCCTCCCAACAACAGAAGAGGCTTTCATTATTTTGTCAATTAACTGCTGTTTTGGAAGACATTTGCATAATATCACTTGAATAATTTTGCTGAATTGCGTTTTAGCATCACAGAAAAAAAGTTGAAAGCAGAGTTATTTAGTCTAATCACTTAACGCTGAGATTGAAGTGTAGGAAACATCTAAAGATGCCTTATTCTGAGTCAGGCGGTCTGCTAATCTGTGGATTTCAGCCATACCTGGAGGTGTCAGAAACTGAGCCTAGCATCTTCTGCATGTGAGAAATGTACTCCACCACTGTGTTAAGGCCCTTTCCCTGTGTCTAGCCATTTGCTCTTATAACAAGTTACAATGACTGATATTTGCCATATGTCCAGCACTTTCCATAGTAAAGTCGCCTGTGTATGCTTTCTTAATGGATCCAGAAATTCCCAAAGTGCAGCCTTCCTGGGATTGGTGTGGGGAAAATGCATATCTGGGTGCTTGCCAGCACAAAAACTTAATAAAAAATGATGCTAGAGAAAAAGCTATACTACATCTCTTGTCCCTCAAGATTTCTTAACATTAAATTTATGAACTGCTGTTTTAGTACTGCTGCTTTGTTCTATCCCCCACCCCAATAAAGGCAGAAAACCTATTATTCCCATTTTTATGGATAATCTGCAAGATGCAGGGATATCAATCTTTCCATGTGGTGCTTACGAAACCTGTAATGATACTTCATCACGTTTCCTTTGTTTCACTACATGCCCTCTGATTTTAAAGAAAATTTGGTATTGTAATATTCTGTAATCAATGTTAAATCATAGTGATGACACAATGTATATTTACATACAGACTATATGTGTTATCCATATGAGCACATCCATCTACCCACAAATTTTATAAAATAATGATTTACAAGCACCTGCCATTAGTGGGTCCCCTTCTCTCTTGTCTCTCAGGTGCCATGCCCTGAGAAGACATCCAGGCTGATTTTTCACCTGTAATGCCAAGCAAAAGGGTTGATTGGTGCCTATTAACCTTTAGAAGACCAAGAGCATAAGCTCAAGGAAATCATTTTGTGCAGTACTGCAAAGCTTTGAGGATGCTGTCTTCATCCTTCATCTAAAATGTCTGTATTTATTTTCAGGACTGATAAACTGTCAGTCGAATTATGAGGTGCAGGCCTTGAGGTTAATTTATAGAAAAATGCTTCTTTATGGATACAAATAAATCTACCTTTCCAGGCTCTAGTTAATGACTTACAGTGTAATCCTGTGCTTTTTTACTTGGAAGTAAATCCCACTGAGTTCAGTAGTATTTATTATCTAGCAGGTGCATATAAGATAGAAGAAGGTAGGTAGCTTTTAAATCTAAAGTGGAAGATGCACATGTTTCAAACCTTAGGCTGTTTTCTGTTCAATTAGGATGTAGTCAAGATAATATAGTTCACATTCTTTCACTTTTAAAAAATCCAGCAACAACTACCTATTCCGTTTCTTTGCTGATGTGAACAAGAAGTCAAGGAATAATTTGCCATTTTATCATTTTGTCTTGTAAATTACCTAGATCGCTTCTTTGGTGGGAAGAATTAATAGAATACGCCTGTAGCCCAGTCCTAAATAAGGTCTGCTCAGACATTTTCTTGATTTCAGTTCCTAGGAAATGGACTCTAGACAGCAGTCAAAGAAGCCCATAACTGGAAAAATCTATCCTGAATACTTAGTGTCCATGTACAACATATTTGATATAACCTGGAACTGGGAGGAAAGCCTGTGTGGAAAGTGGACATGTGTGGGCATGTGTGGCAGAAAGTTCATGGCTTATCCAAGATACCCATTTTATCTATCTTCCCTTCCGCACAATAATCCCGTATTATCTCCTTCTCTCTTCCTATATCTGTGATATTGCACAGCATATGGAGAAAGGATTACATGTCTCCAAGTAGCTAGTACTGATGATTGCTAAATAAAGCCTCCATGTTCAGAAATAACGTACCTTCAATTACCAGATGCTGGGAATAAGATACCTCTCTCATGCCATGCCTGTGAGCTTCCCAAAGGCACCTGCCTGGCTTTCATAAACAGAATGCTGAACTAAATGGCCCCTTGCTATGTTCTGGCAAAGTAATGTATGCTTTCTTCAGCAGCAGAGGTCCTGAATATCACTTGGCTAACAATAAGACCGGATGAAGGGTGAGGGATGGGAATCTGTGGAAAGGAAGATAGGCCGGGCACACAAGTCCATGAGTATTTGTTAGGATACAGGTCACTTGCTTTTCTACCATTGAAACAACCAACAGAAAATAAGTGGCACAATAATAACAGTAGGGGGAAGAAGAAAGGGCAAACCCACAAACACCCGCATGTCTCAGTCTAGAGTAGAATACATTTAAGAGGAAAAATGCATCCTTCCTAGACTAGGCAGCCTGCCATAGAAAATAACTGAAACGAGTGGCATTTAGTTCGTCATCAAATTGGCTTAGAATTCAGGTGCTGGGCTTTGCAAGTGATGTGAATAACAGTTGTATCTCCAGGTAAGATAACCATAGAGTAGGGAGAATGAACAACAGCAAAAAAACAAAAACAAAAAAACCCCATACCTTTCATTGTGGCAGTGAAACAGTGGGGAGTTATAAAAGCAGAGTGCCCTTATAAATAGGCTGCCTACATAGGACTGTGCCCACTGCTAGGTAACGTAGTGAGCGCAGCTTTTGTGTTATGCAAAAGATTCCACTAGGATCTTCCCCATGAGTAGCTGCCAAACACAACAAAAAAAGTAGATTACATATTTGCCAGAGCTACCCAAATATTTATCTGGAACTTCAAAATGTTTTTCTGGGGATCTACTTATTTCTGTCCAATGCCTAGTGGAGGAAACAAACAAGACAATTGTTGTAGTTCCTTACTTTGAATATGTGCAGTCGGCCTTCTTTTTAGGGTTGTTGCCTGGAGGATTTCCCAACGCAAGTGCCGTATGTGTAGGAGCGTCTGGAAAATACAAATTCCTTAATGCAACACAGCCTCATATCTGTGCCTACCAGATTATGATAACCAAATAAAAAGTAGCTGAGGCTGAGCAACCATGCGCTAACAAGTTATTAGATAATGTGTTTTTCTTTCCAATTACTTACCCATGAAAGGTATATATTGAAATTATTAAAAGTGAATTAATTCAGCTTTCTAATTAAGAAGAAAATTAGGAAGGGGACTGACTTATTTATTCTAGAACTATAGTTAACCATTTTTAAAATGCACGCCAGGCTAGAGCCTTCCTAATTACTTAGCTCCTGTCACTTTTCATTACCTTGGAAATCATGTTGTTCACATGGTAAAGGTGGAGTACAATATGTCCTAAAGGGAAGCAGGGGGTAGGCAGGAAAATTGCTTTGGGCAGGCTGTTTATGCAAGTGCTCCATCTACTCCTTATCTGTATTCTGGTCCCAGGAGGGGCTGCATATATGAGTTCAGGGCAATTGGACTTTTATTCCTGTATTCTGCTAGAAAGGCTGTTGGCTTTTATATGGAATAGATCTGAAGGGTTCCAGTTGTAAGCAGGGAACTCACAAACTACGCCAGCCTCTATCAAGCACATTTGGAAACTGTGAAAGGTGAAATGTGCTGGCTGAACACAGTGATTTTAGTTTTTTTATAAATGAAGGAAGACAATCAGGGTTGGCATAATACACCCCATTTACATGTAACACCATGTAAAACGTGTAAAACCATTGCAGAGTTACAGTGCTTTCTGTGGCTGTAGAGACCAATACTGGAGAGACATGTTTTGTTGCAGCTGGGACAGCTAGATGCCTTTCCTCTGCCCCAGCTGCAAAAAAAACATGTCTCTTCAGTATTGGTCTCTACAGCCACAGAAGGCGCTGTAACTCTGCAGTGGTTTGACTTCACCCCTGAAGGCACACTCTTCCATTGTCTCCCAAGACATACAGATGCCAACAATCTGGTAAGGTTTCCGGCCACTTCCACAGTTGTTCTCATGCTGAGGAATCTTAATGGCATTCACCAATATGGTTCCTTGCAGCATGTTTAGCCCACCATGTAAGTGATGTTCAGACAGAACACTTCCAGTGCAGGAGCAACCTCAGAGCAAGTAGCAAGGATGCTGACTGGTTCGTAATAAGGAAATCTTGATAGATCATCATATCCCAGTCAACATCTCCTAGAGAGAGGGGTGAGATAAAGCATGGAGAGCTTTCTGGTCCTCCTCCCTTCTCCTCTCGTTGCTTGCTTACAAGTAAAGAGACAGCAATATTAGGGAGAATAGCATGTCCTGTTTGCTCCTGGCATTGGCAGTAACCCCAGCATGGGGTTAGGCATTGGCAGTTGGTCAATAATACAGACCCCTCATGTCAGACCTGTCTTTCCAGGATTCAAGCAGAGATGTCTAGATCACAAGGGTGTATGTGCCTGTAAATAAAACCTATCTTTCAAGAATGTAATATATTTGTAGAACACAATTCTTTCTCCAGTATCCACTAAAATACAGGCTTGTCCAACTTCAAAGCGACTGCGATCTACTCCAACTATAAAAAAATAGTGATCTACCCACTGGATTGACCAAGGTTGTTGAGCTTTTTTTAATAAGTCAAAATTGTTGGGCTTTTTGAGGGAGATCAAAGCTGTTTTAGGGGGGTGGGAGGGGTCCCAAGATCTACAGTGATCTACCACAGGCACCCCACGATCTACCAGTAGATCACGATCTACCTGTTGGCCATCCCTGCACTAAAACAATGAAAATGGCTCACCCTCTCTTTAAAAACAAGGCAGCATTGTTTAATTTTCCTTCACAATATTATTGGTAAGCTGACACAAACAACCTTGCACTTCTGCTTTTGGGTGAGGACATCTGACTGGAATAGGTAGCTGTTTGCATAATGTTTAGCACATCTTCTATCACACTTCACAGTTTCAATATGCTGCAGAGACATTAATGTCATAAGGGCTTTTGCAAGTTAGCAAGTCTGTTTATAGATCAGCCTCTGCTATTGTTGAGTGCCCGCAGCAGGGTGAAATACTTTTCATATACAATGCCCTCCTGTCCCCAAAAGATAGCATAGTCATTGACACTAGCTGTTGGAAATAAAGTTTGTGCTCATTCCCCTGATGTTTATTACTGTGTTGCCCAGTTGCTTCTGAGCAAAACTTCTGAGTAAAACAAGAAATCGGGCAACAAATTCTTCCTAGAATCTTATCCCCCATAAAAAGTGTTGTAGGCATCAAAGTTAAGTGGCTTCTAGCTATATAGGTATAAAAGAATATGGAAAAATTGGTTTTTAATGTGTAAAAATCTAATGTTACAATATATTAAGATTAAGGATTAGGATTAAAAAGGAGGGAAAGGAATTGTTGGATTAACAAATTGAATTGGAATACAAAAGAGGGAGGTATGAGGAGGTCCAGGAAACAAGTAAATGTATTTTTTTAAAAAAATGATATTTATTAAGGTTTCCAATAAAAAGAACACATCAATAAAAAATTAGAAAAATAAAATAAAATAGACAATTCAAAAATACATAATACATAATCCAAAAAAGAACAAAAATCAAAAGACAAAAAAGAAAACAGTTAAAAACAATACCACCTTTTCATCTCCATTTTTAAATTTACTTATTTTCTGGACCTCCTCATACCTCTCTCTTTTGTATTCCAGTTCAAATTGTTTGTCCAGCAATTTCCTTCCCTCTTTTTTAATCCCAATCTTTAATCTTAATATAAAATAACATTAAATTTTACCTCTTAAAAACCAAGTTTCCATTTCCTTTAACTTTTTTAATCCTAATCCTTAATCTTGATCCATATATGACTTTAAATCCTGTACAGCTGGAAGCCACTTATTTTCAATCCAACATCACTCTAACATTCTTTAATTTTGCAATGTTTCTGCAGATAGTCTTTGAATTTCTTCCAATCTTCCTCCACCGACTCTTCTCCCTGGTCACGGATTCTGCCAGTCATTTCCGCCAGTTCCATATAGTCCATCAGTTTCATCTGCCATTCCTCCAGTGTGGGAAGCTCTTGTGTCTTCCAATACTTTGCGATAAGTATCCTTGCTGCTGTTGTTGCGTACATAAATAAAGTTCTATCCTTTTTTAACACCGTTTGGCCGACTATGCCCAGGAGAAAGGCCAGGAAACAAGTAAATGTAAAAGAAGTGAGGAAAAGATGGAATTGTTTTTAACTGCTTTTTCTTTTTCTTTTTTTTACTTTGTATTTTTCCTTGTTATTGTTATTTTTTATTATTTTTTATTAATGTGATTCTTTTTTCCTTTGAAACTCTAATAAATATTATTTTTTAAAAAAAAGTGTTGTAGGCATCAGATGCATTAAGAATTAAATAACCCTGAGCCCAAAGCATTCACCACAGATGAGCTCTGCCCATTCTGTGCCTCTTTGTGATTTACTGTTCTAGCCTTGGCTCCTTTGGTGGAAAGGGGGAATTTTGCCACATCTCTGCATGAATGTGGTTGTGTCATTCTGTAGCTGTTGAGAAAGAGAGGACAGCAGGACAACCCATCTCTGGGGTAAAGTGTTGGTGGTGAACTCCGCTGAAAGGGGCTAGAGGAAGCTGTTTAATGCCAGGTCAGACCACGGGTTAATCTAATCCAGTACTGTCTACTCTGACTGCCTATGCGTTTCCTGGATCTCAGACAAAGGTATTTCCCATCACCTGCTTAATTGGTCCTTTTTTGTTGCTGTTTTTTAAAGTAATGATCCCAGGGATTGAACCTTGGACATTTTACACACAAAGCATGCACTGTTATGATCTAATACTAAGTTATAGCCTTACTCTTACACACTCCAATAAAAAGTAAGCAGTTTAAGCTTCAACAGTGATGTGTTACCTCCTATTAATTTCAAATGGAAAACTATCCCTTTAATATTGTTATACAGTGGTACCTCTGGTTACGAACTTAATTCGTTCTGGAGGTCCGTTCTTAACCTGAAACTGTTCTTAACCTGAGGTACCACTTTAGCTAATGGGGCGTCCTGCTGCCGCCGCACCACCACTGCACGATTTCTGTTCTCATCCTGAGGTAAAGTTCTTAACCCGAGGTACTACTTCCGGGTTAGCGGAGTCTGTAACCCGAAGTGTTTCTAACCCAAGGTGGTGATTAGAGTTTCAATCCCGGACTATGGGAACATTGGACTGAATATCTGCTTGACAATGAAGCTCCCTGGGTGACCTTGGGCCACCTTGAGTTTCTCAGAGGAAAGGTGGGATATAAATGTATAATTACTGGAAATTGGGGGGATGCTGTCTTGAACCAACACATCCCACCCCAAAGCCTCTCATTTGAAAACAGACTGTAAAGTTAACTTTAAAAGGCTTTTGGTTAAGCTAACAAAGGGCAAATGTGAAGACTTAAGTAACATTTAGCACATGATGATTTTTTTTAAAAAAAACCAATTTGCACCTAAGTTTGGGGTGGAGACATCTTAAAAAATATAAATAGGCTTAGAATTTTTTTTCATATGAATTGTGACCTGTTATTAACTTTTTCTGAGCCAGACAGAAAATTGAATGCAAACTGGGGAACAGTGCTTAATGACAGTGACATTTCCTGACAGAGCAATTCTTTGCATATCAACTGTGCTAATTATGCTTGAGCAGACAGCAGCAGTTTAACCCATTCACCAAAGGACATTTCCTTTTGCAAAGCTTGTGATCCAAACTTTCATTTAGATAGAGGTCTTCTCCAGCACATTACAATTTAAGGGCAAAATAAAATTTAAAACGATAAATGAAAGCATGAGCAGTATCTTGATATGTTGTGTATCCCCACGAAGAGACTGAAGAAGAGCAGGTTTGGAAAGGCCCCTATCCTCACCTGAAAACGGTGGAGGTGAGTCTCCCTCATGCCTTATAAATTCTAGCAGGGATGGTGCAATTGATTAAGTCAAGGAGATGATAAATGCCTGGTTGAGAGGGAAGTGGTCTAAAAGTAGCTGCAATGTGACCTTTCCTGAGGAAACTCTTATACAGACCCAGAAGATCTAAATACAGTGGTACCTCGGGTTAAGAACTTAATTCGTTCTGGAGGTCCGTTCTTAACCTGAAACTGTTCTTAACCTGAAGCACCACTTTAGCTAATGGGGCCTCCTGCTGCCGCTGCGTGATTTCTGTTCTCATCCTGAAGCAAAGTTCTTAACCCGAGGTACTATTTCTGGGTTAGCAGAGTCTGTAACCTGAAGCATCTGTAACCTGAAGCATCTATAACCCAATGTACCACTGTAGCTTTAGGCTGGTCACAGATGGACAAGTTTCTTGAGGAGGTGTTTGCTGACCCGATCCAGACACTCTCGGACAAGACTGTTTTTTCTGTATCCATTTCAGTTGGGGTCCGAGCCTGGATTCAGTGCTAAAGCTGCCTTAATTGCCCTGTATAATGACCTGTGTAAAGTGAAAAACTTCCCCTGAAGTTGCAAGTTTGTAGCCTGAGGTGCTTCTGGAACTATTACAGTACTGTCACTATAGGAAAAACTCAATTCTTCTTGAGAGTCTTCTTTTAGAGCGACTATCCAAGTTGCATGTGGAGGGGTGTACTGCTTTTCAGTGGTTTTGGTTCTGTTTGGACAGTCAACTCCAGCTGGTGCTGTGCGGTTCCCCCTGCTATTTAACATCCATTTAAATCGCTGAGTGAGGTCACTTTGAGTTTTGGAGTGTGTCGCTAGCCTGCCTTTGTCCCTGGTTAACAGAATAATAGAAAGTTAAATTCAAAGTATAGCATCTAATTGTGCTATCATTTCCTAGCCTCATACCATTGAAACTTACTAGAAAAGATCTCCTAAACGCACAAAGTATAAATAACTGTGACACTGGCAGACATTTCGGTTGGCCAAGGGTGTGAGAGAAGCAACACACACAAAAATATTCAGCATCCTTCCTGTCATCACCAACATCAACTTAAAACCTTGATATAATCGAAACACAGTTTAATTGCATGAGAGAAAATGTCATTCACAGTCAAGAGGCATCGAGTCATCACTTTCACACAAGTTGTCAGTTCAGTTTAGTCTGTGTTGAATTTACGATAGACTATAGCAAAAGAACTTATCATCAAATATCTGCAAAGGTCTTCACAAAGGTTAACCTAAAATCCAGAAGTTATCTTTATTGCAATAATTTCAGTATGCTGATGAGGACGCCAATGACTTGGAAAGTAACCAAAGTTCTCAGAGGCAAAAGGCCATCATGCGGTCCAGCAAACAATTAGACCATAAAAACATTTTGTATGGAAGACTCACTTTTGGTAAACTTGATATCACTTACATGACTGAACAACAGATGGAGCTTCAACATTCAGATGTACATGTCATAAATATTATAGAAAGCTTATGGTAGTGGCATAGCTGGAGTATATTTTTTATGTTGGACAAAAATTAAACATGAATTAAAGCTGTTTCTGTTAAAACAAATTATTGAAATGTGAAAGTGATATGCATTGCGTCCATGATTTCTCCCATTCTGTCTTACATTGTGGTAGTGGTAGAATATTCTGTGTTATAATTGTATCATCATATGGCAACCTAGAGGGTTGGGTTTCCCAATGGAGAATGAAAAAAATTCAACTTTTTTCAGTAAGTCTTGTTATCATTTAGAAATAAAACTCAAATTTACATGATTGTGCATAATAGAGAGTGGAATAAACAATATATTTACTTAAAGGAAGATTTCCTCCCCCCCCAAAAAAAAATAATAATGAAGGAAGAGCCAAGAAAAGTGTTTCTGTTTGGGCTGTCAGTAAATAAGACACTTAATAGGTAAATTGCACAAACAAATATTCTGTGCATTACTTATCCTTTTAAGGAAAATAATAAGGCTGGCATCAGGAGGTAACGTGTACAATTCACAGTATCAGTTTAGGTGTGATAGTGCTTTGTTTTTTACATGACAACCTGCCACTGATTTCACTGCTTGTTATACAGTAGATGCTGTTCCTGCAGTCTCCACCCTTTCCACTTTTATGGATCATTCTTACTCTGTTCCAGCTTACATCTCTTTGTCTGGTGGTAAGATAATCTTGTAAGAAAGAGGCAGCCTCTGACATCTATGATAATAGCTGTACTCAAGCATGCAGCTGATTGATCTCTGAAACTAGTAACAAAACTCCATTCAGTGTTCTGAAAATTGATCATATGAATTAGTTTTGAATAATGGTATAAACTATACACAATTAGGAAGACTTGTTTTGCTCATAATATGTTGTTTAGTCTTTATTTGTGGTCTTCACAATAAAGAACTTAATACTGAACAAAGCAAAGATCTACTCTTTTATTGTTATTTTAACACAGTAGATAATACTTGTGGATTTTGTTGCCTGCCTCTTTATAGGGATGTCTCATCATGCAGAATATTAAACTGGCTGGCATCATATACGAACAAATGAAGTGAAAGCCTTCCAGTTTCTCGGACGCTTATTAGGCAGGTTTGTAGTCTGAGGCATTCGTATTGTAGGCAAGTGTTCTTCAGTGGTAGAGAATGTATATTTTAAGTGTGATTTCCAAATTTTACCATCTAAGCAAAGCATAAATTTTGTTGCTCATAGAGTAAAATTACATCAGTGATATCAACAACAAAAAAGAAAACAGACATCCCCAGTACTGTGACTGAGAAATATATATTTATTAACAAAATATGTACAGTCCTGACTTCTTAAAATTCATGATCTCTCACTAACTATAGAGCATGGGAAGCAGTAAATTTTCCAAGCAGAAAATTGGTGTTAGATTAAAATTTACTAACTGAATTGGAAGTTGATAAGAAATGCAAGTTCTCATTATCATTCTAATTAATTAGGTTGCAAAGATGGTCCCTTTGCCAATATGGGAGCCAATGAGAAAAGTACTGCACATTCTTCTTCCATTATTCATTATAGGCTTTATAATAAAATTTATAATACGGTAAAAAATTTTATAATAAAAATTTAAATACGTTTTTGCAAATGGATGGCTCTGCTTCAGAACTCCTCATTGAGCTCATTCACATGGTACAGTAAGCCAAACTATGGCTTATGGAGTCTGTGGGATCAGACTAATGTCTACCTAGCATCCTTTCCATGAATCGGCAGGTACAAGGTGGCCAATTGACAGACCATATTCTACCTCCTGCCCATGTTTGACCGAGATGAAGCCTAATGTTCTGCAGCCGCATACTGCAGTGGAGGTTCAGAAGTGAAAGGAAGTCTCTTTCAAAGAACATTGCTTATCACTGCTAGTTTTCTCCTTGATTGAGCTACAGTAAGCTTCTAGATAACCTTATGTTACCACAGAACACAACTTGAAGACGACTAAGACTGTAACTGGCTTGTTGGTTGATCATCCCTTGATGAAACATGTAGTTGTGCAGGCTGATCTCCCAAGTGAAAATAATCACTGGAAATATGCCATAGCTTGCTTCTTTAAGTTGTTTGAAGTTGTCGTTTATTGGATATCTTGAGTACAGATTAATTAAGAAAACTTAGGCACTGTTGATGTCCACTGGATTGACAGAGAAGGCAAAAATAGACTTAATTATCTTCCAAAATCTGCATTTGTATTTGAACACTGTAATTAAGTCATCATTTCATTAGTGGAACATCAGTGATATAACTTTTAATTGTGCATTGAGAATTTTTTGCTTTGGCTGTCTTTAAAAAGGAATTCTTGATTAGCTGTTTCCCTCATTGTACAGCTGCCCAGGTTTTCTCTCTGCTGTGCTAATGAGCTCAGCCGCTTTCTCCTCTTCACAGGCTCAGAGAGTCCACTGAGGAGTTCCACTTCTTAACTTAGCAGCATGACAGCCAATTTTGCTTGTCTCTTCCCCATGCTGCTCTGGAAACATGTGAAATAGGAAAATCACCTTGATGGGGTCTATGCTAAGTTTATTTCTCACACTGGTGAAACCACTGCCAGGGAGACATCAGCACTAGTCATACTACTTCCCCATTCATATGGTCACTCCATTAGGTATGTTACCAGAGGAGTATAGGAAGCAATGGCCATGCTTGCATGATGCTATTCCTGGGGCTCTCTCATCAAAAGTAGCCTGCACAATTTGTGACCCACCAAGCTGAAGCAGCCTACCAGCCATGCATTTATTTAATGATTTGTAACAGCATCTACATGCCTCTCAATAAGTTCGTTCTCTGGGTACCTTACAAACAATAACATGTTAATCTGCAGCCAAAATACAGAACTATGCAAGTAAACAAATCGCACCATATAAAGTTTGGTAGCAGAGAGTAAAAAAAGCACAGAAAAATACAGTGTCTAAAATGTATGGTGGACTATGATGGGATTACATAACCTTCCTTTTCTTTCCATTTCCTGGAACTGCAAACTTTGGGTGTTGTCAAGCACTGTGCATGCTACCGTCAGTGGAAGCTGGTCCCCTGGGTCTACTGAGGCACAGTCTTCCCAAGGAGAATGCTGAGATTTCATTTTATTTTTTAATCCCTCCAAAATCTCAAAGCTACATGCTTTTTCCTGTCTCACCCACATTTTTTTACTTCTATTTGAACTCAGAGAATCTCTGCAAACATTTCTGACAATCTTCTGTTCTCTGGCCATTCAGCTTTCTGTACCGCTCAGGCAATCCTAATGCTATGGCAAAGAGGTCACTCCCATGTGTCTCTAAGCAGAAAAAACCATATGGCTGATGGGGCTGCTGAAAGGTCAGCCCCAGTAGAAAAGCTCTTACTCTAACTGTTCTTATGAGGCCCATCCAACACAGCCACTGTAGCAGATATGGAAAGAATTTAGACTGCTTTAGAAACAGCTATGCTGTTATTAGCCTGTTAGAAGCCTCCACTGGTTCTAAGAATGCTCATAGCTGTTGCCCTAAAGGACAGAGATGCAACAATGAGTTCTTAATTTAGCAGTTTTGTGCTCGCTAGACCTTTCAGATGCTGGCTTACAATTGTGAGCCATTTTGGTTTGGCATTTCCTTAGTGCTATGCCCTCCCCCTCCCCATAATGTGTGCTGGGTGCAATGGCCAATGTGCTCATAATAATTTAGGAAACCAACCAGCAGCAGCAACTGAGGCTGCATTTGAAATGGCAGCACAGAGCCAATGGCAGAGAAAGTGCTGGATTCTTCAGCAGATCAAATGGAAAATGGTGTCAAACCAGGTTTCATGAGCATTCTCAAGTGTGTGAAGCACAATATTTCAACCCAAAATGTATGTCTAATGAAAATTTCAATAAAGCCCCAGCTAAGTTTTTCATTTGGCACCCCTTCTTATGCACCACGATTCCCTTTAAAAACAACCTAAGTTCAAACTCCAAGACCTCTTAATTACAAATTTAGATGCAACATCACTTATGGATTATTCATGAACTTCTGGTGGGCTTCCCAATGTTTCCTTCTCAAAAATTTCATCCTATACCTCCAATATTTGTTGGAGGGATTTGCATATTTATTACAAAAATTACCATCCCTGTGTTCTAGGAAATTTCATTCTAACATGACTGAAACACAGATTTATATTACAACAACAACTTAAAAAACCAGGCAAGGAGATAACTTGCTACTCCAAACTGGGAAAAACCAGTTAGAAAACTAACATTAAATTCCCTGTGCAGGAGGCCAACATAACTTGTGACATGCCAAGCTGAAAATAGTCCACCTCCGATGTATTATCAATTCTCACACACCCTATTTCTGTGGTCCCAGGAAAGAAATTATCAAGTTATGGTTTTTCTCCATGTATGAATCCTGAGCTACATCTTGGTGGGTCACAAATTGTATAAGTCTGGTCTAGAGCTACTTGGAAGTTAGGCAAGCATAAGTAACACTGATGGAAGGGATTGTTGAATCAGTGTGAGGGATACCTGAATATTGGAAGTGATGAGTCAAGGTGCCAGAATGGTGCTTGATTGTTCCAGAAACTGACGGAGTATCAAGATTATTGTCGATGAAAGAACCAGACTACTAAATAGATGGATTTTGTCAGGGAACTGATTTGTAAATCCGGGGGACTGTCCCCAGGAAATGGGGATGTCTGGTAACCTTAGTGTAAAACACTCTTACATCACTATAGTAGTCATGGTTCCTCCCCGCTCCCTGCCAAATAATCCTGGTAACTAGTTTGTGAAGGGTGTTGGGAATTTTAGCTCTGCGGGGGCTGATTGGAAAATAAGCACTTCATAATAAAAAGGGTATTTCTGCAGAGGGGTGTGTGTCACATGTTTTGAATTCTTCCTCATGTTGAGGTGTACATGGATTGTCACATATTCTGAATTTTCCTCAAATTGAGAAGGTCTTGTATGTGGGGCATGACATGTAGGAAGAATGGTAGACTAGAGCCCCATGCACAAAAGAGTTCCTCATGTAGGGATCATTAGATTCTGAAGTGACAGAGTCCTAGAAGACATGTGCCATGTTTTCTGAATGTTTGCATTTGCTGTTAGATTTGGACCTGACCTTGATAGGTTAAATGCAGCAGGTTGTCAAAAGCTTTGATCTGTAGAACCATGCAAAGCTACATTCTTCCTGTTAGAAAGCCCCAACTATGATTCCCTGATAACCTCACCATTCACGGATTATATTTCTGATTAACTTGTGACAAATTGAACAATAAATGTATAAAAATAGCTACTTTAATTCTATCTATAAATAGTAAGGGGGAACATAATGGATCAAGTCACTATATTAACTACCTCTCAGAAATTCTGAGTACACAGCAATTTATCTTGCAGTGCAATTCAAGTGCTGGCAAATAAAATTATAGCTGTAATAAAAGAAAACTTTCCAGTATACAAAGCTAATGATATTTCTGGTAATTAAGATACCAAATAGTCTGATCACTGCTGTTTTCTAAAATACAGTAGAACTGGTGGATGGATTTTTTTTGTCTCTTCTCTTTTTCTTTGTGAGTGAATGGATAACAGGCTCACAATTTAAGCTGGAAAATAAACTTGTGTTAGAAGGTTCTTAATTATTTGTCCATTTGGAACAATTAAAATGTGGCTGATTGGTTAGCATTCACAAGTTTTAAATGACAACTCAAGTAATCTTTTTAAATTGGATAGTCAATATTTGCTGTGTGATGTTGCTAATACCAGCCAATGCTCATCGAAAACTTGGCTTCAGGTTTACAAACTGAAAGAGCCATTGTTCATTTTAATTTTCAGCTGCACAATTTGTAAGGTATGTTGTTATGTTATTGTAGCCTATTACTTAACTCAGCCAGTAACATTATGTGTATTGTTGGATGATACATGCAGTTTGCTTTTTGCTAAAAAATAGTTTGTTTTGTGTAAGTACCTAATGCTTTGAAATAAAGCCAATATTCTTTAACTGTTGAGTTGACCTACAGACAAGTTGATTGGTCTCTTTCAAACTTAATGTCTGTCCTACTGAGCTCCAAGTGCTGAATGTGACAGAATGGGTAGCCGAGTGTAAACGAACACCTTCCCAGTGGAACTATATCTTTGAAGATGTGAATGTTGGGACTTACACATGGCTGGGCATACAGCAAAACAGGCATTGGGAAAACATCCAGAAGACCAAAGGTTCCCCATACCCACATTAAAAGAATATAAAAATGGTAGCTGCTGTATCATGAAAAAAGGAGGAAAGCAATAAGGCAGCCGTAACAGCAGTGAACTGATGCATCTCTCTCTCTCTCTCTCTCTCTTTTAGTGTCAGAACAGATGGTTAATGTGAGAGGACCTCTTGCAAGATCAGACGATGTATGAGGGAGTGAAGTTGAGCTGGGATCCATGACAGTCTGTTGTTGGCCAAAAGTATTGGCCTGTTAAAAGTTGGAATTGGGTACCCATCTCCTGCAGTTAGTTAGTTTTCGGTTGGAAAAATTATGAAAACAGGATTCTATCATTAAAGCTTGCAGAAATTCCCACATTCTGTAAAGTCTCGTTCTACTCATATTATTAGGTGGGCCGTTCTTCATTATCTGTAGCAATTTATGTTCATGCACCGAATTGTGACTGAATTATGGAATTGGCCTGATAACATATGCTATGAATACATCCAGTGGAATAAAAGCACAGTGTATATATTCCCTCCCCCAAGATTTATACAGACTTTGATAAAACCTGAAGAAACTGCCAATCTATCTGAAATTAAAGGTATAATTCTGACCATCTCACTAGCTTCAGTGGAATGCTCACTAATGTCCTCAAACACGCATATGAATTGTAAGCATAAAACATTTTCCCCACCAAAATTCAAGTGATTTGAGGTATTGGTTAGCATTCTTTAAGTGTATATATTACGTTGAGGTTCCTGGAGAGGGTCAGCCTTACCAAACAGTTGTGTGAAGCAGCCTTCTTTTGGTGACACCACAGCTGGGGAATAGATGAAGACAGATATTGGTGCTTGAAAATCGCAGCAATGCCTTTCAACGTATTGCCCTTAGCGAGCTCCATTTTGTGCAGAAAAATGTTTTGCGGTAGCAGTGTTCATAATTCAAGCTTCAAGTGCCTCACGCAGGGGCTATAACATTTGAATTATGGCCAGTTCTTCCAGCAAGACACATCCTTACTGGTGGGTACCATACTTCAAGGACCATACTGCTGCAGCTGACATGGATGGGACAGAACATCAGCTAGGTCAGGGCTGTGCAGATGCACCGATGGAGTCAGTCCAACAGTACTTCAGCTTAGCCCCACCCACCCACTCCCTGTCCAGGTAAACTGCAGTGACACCTGTGTTGAGGGGGTGACACCACCTGACCACACTGACTGCTAGTGCCTATCTAAACTGATTTGACATATGAACCTCCCCTTGGGCTTCACAAGAGGTGTGTTTAAAGCAACTGGCTTAAAAATCAGATAATTTAGGTCTATAGAAAACTGCTATACTTTTTGCTCTGTGCATCCAAGCGCCCTTAATTCCCCTCTCGTTTTTAGTTTTACTTTCAGACACTTCTTCAAAATGTAGCATGCAGAAAGTATTGACTAAAATGGCTAGATTGCATTTTCCAAGTTCTGACTTTCCCCTTTATTTTCAAAGGTTTGAGTTTCTTAATTTGCCTAATTAGGAGTATTTTTGTTTTGTTTTGTTTCATTACTGCATGTTTCAGCTCCAACTTAATCAGCTTTCACTCCTCATACCAATTAAATCATCATATGCAGGGCACCAGCTCAACTTCAGCAATTAGAGAACAATCATCTAAGCACTTAAGGCTTGTCTGCTCAAAATAAAGTCACAAGAATGGACAGATGACCTTTAGGAAATATTACTTTACAATTAAAGTACTATGATGAATTCAAAACTATGATTACTCACTTATATTTCAGTTCTGTAGAATGGCAGGCTGCATGTGTATCTTTTCAGTGGCTTTTAAAATACTACAGAAAAAGTCCACTAGCTCAGTTTCATTCCTAACAATTTATCTGTGAAGTACAACTGGTTTCCAATATGCACATAAACATGACCTTTTCAACTAGTGTGCATATTTGCCTTTTAATGCTGTACCCAGAGCAGTGAATACTGTTCTATGCAGCGCAGACCAGTCTTTAATGTTTCAACCATGGGTTACAACAGAAAACAACTAACAACTACAAAAAACAATAATCACAATAATAACAATAAATCTAATTTAACACATGATGAACAAGATAAAAATTTGGCATGTGCTTTGACAGCTGCCAGAGCAAATCTTGTCATAGGTAAAAGGGCTGCTTTATTACTATAAGCCAACAAGAAATCATTTTCCTCCCCCCCAGCTCAGACAAGTTGGCTTTCCCCTCAAGAAGTGGGTCTAAAAATACTGTCCTGAGTAATGAGTTACACTTCAGTCACTTGTCCAGTACCCAGACTTGGCAATAGTAAGATTTAATAGAAAGGAGTAGAATTCTTTTACACATATTTCTTCCACAAAATACAGAGGAGTAGCCTTTGGCCACGTTATGTATAATCTCCCTCCCTGTTTTGCAGGGGCTCCCCTCCTGAAAGAATGTGTATCTCTGCAATCCATCTGCCCTAGTACCCAGAAGACAATAGTTCATTTAACCTAGATGAAAAGATAATGTAGTTTTAGGAATTTTAACTTTCCAGTGTATATCAATTCAGGCTGTGCATGCAACTGGGGTCTGAGATACTTTCTTCACAGTGGAGTTGCAGAATTCTCTCATTTCCCTTACCTGTATCTGGATTCAGATGTGTTATGCAGCAAAATACTTGTTCCATGAGAAAACACTGCTTGCCAAACCTCTTCAGGATTGAAGCTATATGCTTGGACTAATGGCAAAGTTGTCAGGTTAATAGATTTTCATTTATTTTAGAACTGAGTGGTGGGGATGAGCTCTTTTAGCAGTTTCATATTTTTTCCCAAATGTTCTCTTCTACTACAGGACCAGTTTTGTTCAAAACATGGTGTAGTTGTTCAAACCATGTGATGAATGCTAACTAGGATTGTCGTCATTGTTTGTATGCCCATGGTTGCAAGGGGAGTGTGTTAGCACTAACTGTGGTTACTGTCAAATGGAGACATAACATTATGCAACAGTTACATATGTGGAATATGTGCGGGAGAGGAGGAAACTTGAAGCAGCACAGTGGTTGGAGTATTAAAACATTTTGGACTTTAACAATTTTTGTCTTTTGGGCTTCCACTCTACACACATTCACAAATGAGCACGAGACTATAATTTGAAAACTTGGCACACAACTATATCCCTTACAAATGAGTCTATTAGTTTTACAATTAAGTCTGACAGTAAGCCCAATTTAATATAATGGAACTTACCTCTTAGAAATACAACTATAAGAAAATATAAAGTAAATTTACAAGATTGATTATAATTCTGATTTATTTATTTTTGCAATTACAGTGAAACAATAAACTGGGCTCCTGCCAACCTAGCAGTTTGAAAGCACGTCAAGTGCAAGTAGATAAATAGGTACCGCTCTGGCAGGAAGGTAAACGGTGTTTCTGTGCGCTGCTCTGGTTCACCAGAAGCGGCTTAGTCATGCTGGCCACATGACCTGGAAGCTGTATGCCGGCTCCCTCGGCCAATAAAGCGAGATGAGCCCCCAGATCAAGGTGCATCTCTATGAACACTTGGCCTACAGAAGTATCATCTGTAGTTATCAAACAAGAGCACAGCTCTACTGAAATGTGATAGTAATTTTTAGGAAGGAAAGGGGTGGATTTGCCCTGCCAGACTTTAAACTTTATTATGAATCAGCAGCTTTTTGCTGGTTGAAAGAATGGCTACTTCTTGAAAACACAGACATTTTGGACTTAGAAGGTTTTAACAATGTATTTGGATGGCATGCATATCTGTGGTATGACAAGGTCAAAGCGCATAAAGCATTTAAAACCCATATTGTCAGGAAAGCACTGTTTAATGTTTGGATAAGATACAAGGATTTATTGGAAAACAAAACCCCAAGGTGGCTGTCACCGATGGAAGCGAAAGCTTTGAAAATGCTCAATATGGAGGCCAATTGGCTGAAATATTGGGAAATCTTGGAACAAGATGGAGATAGACTGAAATTGCAGAGTTTCAAGAAACTAAAAACTAAAGTGCGAGACTGGCTTCATTATTATCAGATAATGGAGGCATATAATTTGGACAAGAAAATTGACTTCCAGGTGGAAAAATCAAAATTAGAAACAGAACTGTTAGAACCCAAAACTAAGAATTTGTCAAGAATGTATAACTTGCTGTTGAAATGGAATACTCAGGATGAAACGGTGAAATCTGCTATGATTAAATGGGCACAAGATGTTGGACATAATATTATGTTTGCTGACTGGGAACAGTTATGGACCACAGGTATGAAGTTTACGGCATGTAATGTCCTAAGAGAGAATATTATGAAAATGATATACAGGTGGTACACGACCCCAGTCAAGCTTGCAAAAATCTATCATTTGCCCGACAATAAATGTTGGAAATGTAAAGAAACTGAAGGTACATTCTTTCACCTTTGGTGGACGTGCCCAAGGATTAAGGCCTTCTGGGAAATGATATATAATGAACAGAAAAAGGTATTTAAACATACCTTCTTGAAGAAACCAGAGGCCTTTCTCCTTGGCATAGTCGGCCAATTGGTGCCAAAGAAGGACAGAACTTTTTTTATGTATGCCACAACAGCAGCAAGAATACTCATTGCAAAGTATTGGAAGACACAAGATTTACCCACTGTGGAAGAATGGCAGATGAAGCTGATGGACTATATGGAACTGGCAGAAATGACTGGCAGAATCCGAGACCAGGGAGAAGAGTCGGTGGAAGAAGATTGGAAGAAATTCAAAGATTATCTACAGAAATATTGTAAAATTAATGAATGTTAGAATGATGTTGGATAGTAATTAAGTGGTTTCCAGCTGTAATGCTTTAAGGGAATATGAAAAAAGGGTTATAAATAGGTAAAAATTTAATATTATTACATTTAAGGATTTGCTGAACCAACAGACTGAAGTGGAATACAAAAAAGGGAGGTATGAGGAGGTCCGGGAAATAAGTCAAAGGAAAATAAGTAATGGAAAATCTGTGTGTTTTTAACTTTTTTTATTTTGTATTTTTGTCATTTTTTTTCCATTTTTATTGTAATATTTTAAAAATCTTAATAAATATCTTATAAAAAAATAAATAAAGCGAGATGAGCGCTGCAACCCCAGAGTCGGCCACGACTGGACCTAATGGTCAGGGGTCCCTTTACCTTTACCTAATAAACTGGGAGGATGGGCTTACCCATATAGTTGTTAAACCATTTAAATATTCTCTCCAGCCTGGGAACTGTTTGCAGATAGTGTTCCCCCAACCAGGAGAAATACCTGAAGGACAACACAGTTCTTTAATGCTGTAAAATGTGTTTTGGATAAAGTTCTTCCAAGTTACCAAGCCCACAGAAAAGTTAAGAACTTGAGGAAGTGAAGGCGATGGTGTAGGCAAAGTTTTTCAAATGCTAGGAAGGGGGGAAAGCAGTACTTATCTGGGAGTGGTCACTCAGCCTTATCAACACCTTCAGTTGCATATTGGGACAGTGCTCCACTTATGTGGAGGGATACATCAGATGTAATGTGAGGAAACAGCAGAAAGAATTCAAGGATTAGAAAATATGGATTTTCTATAATGTGAAGAATATGACCATTTTTATTTAATTTTGGCTTAAAATTCTACAAGACAGGCTTAAACTGTATGTAGACTGAGAACTCCCAGAAGTGCAAGCTGGATTTCGAAGGGGCAGAGGAACCAGAGACCAAATTGCAAACGTGTGCTGGATTATGGAGAAAGCTAGAGAGTTCCAGAAAAACATCTACTTCTGCTTCATTAACTACGCACAAACCTTTGACTGTGTCAATCACAGCAAACTATGGCAAGTTCTTAAAGAAATTTGAGTGCCTGATCACCTCATCTGTCTCCTGAGAAATCACTATGTGGGACAAGAAGCTACAGTTAGAACTGGATATGAAACAACTGATTGGTTCAAAATTGGGAAAGGAGTACGACAAGGCTGTATATTGTCTCCCTGCTTATTTAACTTACTGGCATATGCAGAATTCATCATGCGAAAGGCTGGACTGGATGAATCCTAAGCCGGAATTAAGATTGTTGGAAGAAATATCAACAACCTCAGATATGCAGATGACACAACTATGATGGCAGAAAGTGAGGAGGGTGAAAGAGGAGAGCGCAAAATCAGCCCTGAGTGCTCACTGGAAGGACAGATCGTGAAGCTGAGGCTCCAATACTTTGGCCACCTCATGAGAAGAGAAGACTCCCTGGAAAAGACCCTGATTTTGGGAAAGATTGAGGGCAGAAGGAGAAGGGGACGACAGAGGACGAGATGGTTGGACAGTGTTCTCAAAGCTACTGACATGAGTTTGACCAAACACGGGGGGCAGTGGAAGACAGGAGTGCCTGGTGTGCTCTGGTCCATGGGGTCACGAAGAGTCGGACACGACAACAAAAATACTACAGTGTAGTTGGCAAAATACAGCTTTGCAGAAATAAATATGAAACTCTATAGCATTTAATGGGGGGGGTAAACAAGTTGCAAATAATTGTGACATATGTTTCTCCAGGTATATCTTTGTGTTGCTTGAACATTATCCAGTATGTGAAGAAATCAACTCAAAATAGCATTACTTTATAGATAATGGAAAGGGTGATGATTGTTGCTCTCATAAATAAGGGAAAGGGAACATGACAACAATGGTTGAATGTTTTTCTTTTGAAGGCAATACTGCTTGAGAACATATAATAAATCATCCATCACGTTCCTCCTATTTTATTATCAAACAAGCTAGAAATAAGTTGATTCGTCATGAGTTATGGCATTCATTCCACAAACAAGAATGTAGGAAATTCATTTCTCCAGAGGAAAAGATAAAAAATCATTAGGGAAATATGTAGGCTGTTCAATCAAAATGATTATATTGTATGAAAGTGAAAACAAGCTTTGACAGAGAGTCATTTTGATTTATGGTTTAAATGTCTTTGGTAAATAAAAGCAGTTATGTATGTATGCATTTTGAAATTAGTATTTCCTAGGTGAAAAACATGCAGCAAACTATAATTACTTCTTCTGAATTTCAAGAGGGGAATAGGGAAATACAGTTATTTAAATTTAAGATTGATTCATGTGACAACAGGATCAATAAAACATGTTGAACAACATTTTGATTCTGCTGAGGTCAATGGAACATTAACATTTACTGAAAAAGAAACAAAATTTTACACACCTAAAGTTTTAACCACACGGAAAGTTCCTCTGCATAAGTAAAATAGAATAGGGCACTTTCAAGAAGTGACAATTACATTTTTCAATTAAATTGTAAATGAAATTTACAAATAAAAGATCTGTATAGAACATTGATAGACAACTTCTGTATTCTCTATGATAAAAATTGTAATTGTCTTCTGGAGCATTCTCCACAAGAGCACAAACTTCAGAGTGTTCTCAGCCAGACAAATTGGCTAAGAGCTGCTCTTGAACTGAAGAGACCCAACACATCATTGGGTAAAATTGAGGGCAGCTGATCTGTATCCAGTTCTTCATACAAGCACACTAACCTTTCTCAGAATCTTGCTTTGCTATTTCTTTCTGCTCTTCTCTTTCACTAGTCCTCCATCTCTGTGTTTTCCTCTGCTGCTTATAAAGCAGAAACAGCCCGTCCCATACCTCTTCTTTTCCACCCCCTTCAGTACATCTGAGGTTGCTTTCAAACAGCTGGTGTGGGCAGGTAGCCAAACTACCTTGGCATCTCCCCTAGCCTCATCACACCTCACTTTAAGATCTTCACAGTTAGGAACCACATATGCTCACATATAACCGTACAAGGATATAATCCATATAAAGTTGAAAACAGATAAAATATTAAAAATGTGGAATATTCATTTTTCTTACAACTTGATGACCTTCCGCCCTCTTAAAAGTGTGGACAGACTTTTTAAACACACCTGTTGTTAGGGCATTAAAGCCAGCTACTCCTGTTTCAAGGGGCTTGGCTCCAGTCTGTGGGCCAGGAGTTGACCATCTCTGGTATAGAATGTGTTTATCTTGTCACAATTGAAACAAGCCAGTAGCCACCATTCAAGGGTGTACACACAATACTGAATATCTATTTAAGTATTTCATGATAAAAGCACACTAAAGACAAAGTATAGTGTTAATTTTTTAAAAAATCAGATCCACAAGTCAGCTTAAAAAAACATGGTTTGGATCCAGCCTTAATCGTGCTTGGAATAGAACCATTAAAATCAATGGATCATAAGTTACTCGTGACTAACCAACCCATTGATTATTCTCACTGAGCACAGAACGAATTCCTAGACGGCATGAATTAAGACTCAGGGAGGAGAGATGGGTAAGTTGAACCTTTCTAAAAGGGATATTCTTCCTCTGCCTAAAAATTACTATCACATTTCAGTAGAGCTGTGCTCTTGTTTGATAACTACAGATGATACTTCTGTAGGCCAAGTGTTCATAGAGATGCACCTTGATCTGGGGGCTCTTTGATATTACAAAAACCAGTTCTAACACATTTTGATTAATTAATTAATTTTCTTTAATTTATATGGCTGGGCATGACCCATAGCTGTCAACGTTTCCCTTTTTTAAAGGGAAATTCCCTTACTCCAAATAGAATTCCTCACAAGAAAAGGGAAAGGTTGACAGCTATGGCATGACCCGTGCACACTTTAAAAGCAATGGAGGCATTGTTTTTTTTTTAAAAAAGTACACTTTAAAACAACTGTTTTTCAGTTGCATAAATTGTTCCGAGTGTCAGTGAACAGTTTGTCTTAACATTCAAATACATATTGCCTGAGTTATGAGAGTTTTTTTAAGGATCTGGTGCTTTCTAACTTAGTAGCAAAATAAATATATGTGCAGTGTCATGTTGGTTGTATCTTGGAAGAGATAGGCATTAAGCTTGCAGGCACTTCTACACCTCTCACTCTCCATTTTCAGAAAGAGGCACTTGTAAAAAGATGAAAGAGACACAAGCACAGTTCGGTATGTAGGAGGTCCTTGTGTATGTGTACTGTAGCCACCCACATCTAAGGGCCATTCCTCCTGTTATTTTGCATCATGAGAGCTCTTTCCAATGCATTGTGTCAGAAATCCCACTGAGCTAATCCAAATCTTTATTCCGGTCATAGACCAGCATAAGATAAAAGCACCTTCATGCATAAATAAGTAAGTTAACTTACTGTAGAGGGTACACATACTCATACTCTCAGATACAATAGACCAACATAAGATAAAAACACATAAAACATGTAAAACAAACCCTCCGTTTTAGTCCTACTGTGTGGCTAGATATTGTGCTGCTATGATTGACATACGTCAGAGGATGGTATGTCCAATTGAGCCCTATCTCCTGGCATTTGAGGCAACATACTCAAACAAGCTGTGTACACACTCTTGTTTACTCTGCATCCAGTGTGCTCCTGCTGTTGATTTGCAAAGGGGTTTCACACAACATTAGCCACAACCCATATCTATCCTGTATCTATCCTGAGTGGAATTCAACAATGAGCTCTTCCAGTCATTCCATCTGTGCAAGCACTGCATCTTGCCAAATGGAATGATTTCTCCTCTCCTCTCCACACACTGTTCTGGAAGTTCTCCTGACAGCCCCTTGCTGAGCAGAAACCCTTGGGCAGAGCTTATGGGGCTGGTTAGTTGAATCCCACCCACTGTGTTTTGATTCATTTCCCCACAGACCAGCTTCTATCCTAATTGGGGGGGAAAGAACAAACTAGCTGCCCATTAAGCAGGTAATGTGTGTGTAGCCATTGTGTCTAGAGCAGGGGTGGGTTATCTTTTTTAACCTAGAGCCACAAATACCCCCAGGGAAAATTTGGCCTCAGGCTTGAGGTATCTCAGCCCTGTTCTGGTGAATTGATGGAGCACTTACCATGCTGATTGCAGTGAGTAGAACTGGAGACCTCTGAAAATAATCTGTGAACTGTAGTTTGCCCTACTGTCTCATGTTCTCTGTATTAGATCTGAACAACAGCTGTAGTGTTACAACCTGCCAGACTCCACAGATTTCTATTCAGTATGCGTTGTCCCAGCCAACATGTCAGCTGTAAATCGCAACCATGCCATTATATGGCACACTAAGACATACAGGGTGGTGGTGCATTGGGCTGAATTCTGCAATTAATTAAAGAGATAAACTGGTAGTGATATTTTTAAAAAACCAATTCCTAGCTGACATTCTTAATTTGTTTATGAAAATTATGACAACAAATAGAGGAATTGCTTTGTTAACTGTCAAACAACTGACTTTACCATTCAAGGGGAATGTGTCTGTATGTGACAGAGGGAGCTGAGTTTGATGGATACAAAGCAGGAAGTCTCTGCAAATAGTTCATAAAGTGCTTCTCCGAAGTGCTGATGAAAATGGACAAGAAACATGTAGGATCTGGAAGCTGACAAATTATTAAATATAGTGTGTATATTTTTAGAGTACTGTCTCCCCTTTAATTTTTAACCACTTACTTAGACAACAGGCAGATCAATCCTATACATTGGTACCTCTGGTTACGAACGTAATTTGTTCCAGAGGTCCATTCTTACCCTGAAACCGTTCTTAACTTGAGGTACCACTTGAGCTAATGGCGCTGCCGGTTGCACAATTTCTGTTCTCATCCTGAGGTAAAGTTCTTAGCCTGAGGTACTACTTCTGGGTTAGCGGAGTGTGTAACTCAAAGTGTTTGTAACTTGAGGTGTTTGTAACCCGAAGTACCACTGTATTCATATTACACTGGGGCCAGTCCTACTACACCATTAGGAAAGTTGGCATAACCAATGCATGCTGAACTCAGGAAGGGAGAGGAAAACACACATGCAGAAAATACAAATCAGGATCAACACAACACAATGTCCACAGTGTCCCAAGAAACTGTGGCACAGTAGACCAATTGGAGACTCTGCCATTTATGATGCAATGTGGCATGCAGACAGGAGAGAGATCCACCCTGACCTCCACCTTCTCTAGCATTCTAACCTCCTCCACTAGTGGTTCTGGGGGTTAGAACAGTTTTCTTTAAAAATATTTTACCCTTGAGAGCAGTAAGCACTTGGCCACTGTAACAGATGAACCCTTTTGAAGCCCTTTTGAAAAGCTCAGTGTTGCCCTTTTCCTCACAGCAACCCATTATCCCCATGCCATATAAATCAATCATTTGGAGTGTAGTCAACAGCCTTTGAAGTCAATGGTAAGATCTACATTGGTTTTTAATGGAACTGATTTTGTGCCTTGGAGTTAGTGCACTTTTTCTGCTCTGTTTCAGTTTTTAAAAAAATCAAAAGGTTGATCTATTTTACATCTGAATGGTTTGTTAATGTTTCACAAGTTAAAATAAAGCAAGTACTAACACACTAATGGTGTTTGGCCTTTTGTTGGTTTTAATATTTTAAACCTATAAATAAACAAAATCATACAAATATAAATTGGGGAAAACTGTAGAAAGAAGGTTGTCAAGAACAAGGCTGGCTCTCAGGTCTTTATTTTTCTAACTCCCATGACTAGCATTACCTTTTAGTTGACCTGAAGAACAGAATAGGATTCCACATTTATTTGAAAAAAAGAAGGAGTACCCAACATTTATCCGACTGGAAGGTCATTGGCTTTAGTGAACCCAAACTTCTTAAAGTTGTAGCATTAAACTACAACTACAGCATTAAACTAACACTTTGCTCCAGTTATCCACAGCAGAGTGATCCAGAACTAGGCTCCCAGTTTGAGCCACCTCCTCTGGAACTGTCAAGCATTTATAAAGCCTTAAACAACTCAGGAGTGCAATACCTCAAGGACTGCCTCTCCCCATATGAAGCAGCCTTGACCCTGTGATCATCAGCTGAGACCCTTTTTCACTTGAGAGCCAGTGTGGTGTAGTGGTTCAGAGCGGTGGACTTGTAACCTGGTGAACCGGGTTCGCTTCCCCGCTCCTCCACATGCAGCTGCTGGGTGACCTTGGGCCAGTCACACTTCTCTGAAGTCTCTCAGCCCCACTCACCTCCCAGAGTGTTTGTTGTGGGGGAGGAAGGGAAAGGAGAATGTTAGCCGCTTTGAGACTCCTTCGGGTAGTGATAAAGCGGGATATCAAATCCAAACTCTACATGTTCCTCCCCTCTCCTCCATGAGAAGTCTGAAGCGTGGCAACATGAGAACAGGCCTCTTCTACGGTAACTCCTCGTTTCTGGAATGCTCTCCCCAGGGACGCTTGCCTGGCACCATGATTACATACCTTTAGGCGCCAGGTGAAAACGTTTCTGTACATTTTGCCACAACATGCAACAGAAATACAAACTTCCGTATTAAACCCACCAGTGAAATCCGCAAAGACAACAAACATTATATTCAGAACCTTTAAAAGAGAGTGACATACTTCTAAGTATATCTTTATTCTTGTTAGTATAACACATTAGGTATCCTTTTACACTTCAGTTTTGCCAGATGTAATGAAGACCGTGGATCAAAAATAAGGCGTAGCTTCTGGCTTCCTGGTTCTTCTATTTTTGTTGGGATGAGGTTGCATGCATTACGTATGTGAAAATTTTAAGTGTAAATTTAACACTTTGCTGTCAGCATCAGGAAGGCATCATTCAGCCAACTGAAGCTGCATTTCCCTGCATTGACCTTCCCTTGTATCTCATATGTGATCAGCAAATGATTTAGCTTACAGATGCTACTACCTGGGAAACATATCGACAAGCAACTTCTTTCTGGTTGAGAGGTTGTCCTGTATTGCATGTTTTGTTATGTTGCTAAAGGTTTAACTCAGTGCTGTTTCACTCAGGTCCTCCCTGTGGGCTACCATTGGGCATCCAGTTGACCACTGTGAGAGCAGGATAACGCACCACATAGGCTTTTGGCCTAACTCAACAGGGCTCTTCTTATGTTCTTCTCATGTTGTTACATTTTTCTGTTGGCACAGTGCATTTCTCTTTGTATCCCCTGCCCTGCTTCACCCCTTGCACAAACATAGCATGGCTCCTGATACTTGGGGGACAGGAAGCTAGAGAAAGGTTCAGCATTTTGAATTTTGGAAATGCCTGCTGTGCATTTTTAAGTGATGTTGAAGTTCATCATCACACCAGTGTTATCACACTGATAACATAAATCCCAGCAAGGAAAATGGAGTCAGAAACTTTTGAGCATTCCTGTTGGACAAAAAGCTGGGTTTCAGCATCACTTGTCACTGATATTTCAATGTAACTGACAAAGGTAGCTTGGATGGTTCGGCATTTATTTAATTTTTGATAGATAAGCTCCCAGGGCAGGCTGCAAAAGCAGCAACAACAATTATACAGTTTAAAATACAGTAAAGCCAATTCTTTATGCAATTCCAAAAATATCATTTAAAATGGAGGATAACAGTAAACATATATCTCAACTGTGAAATGACATGCACACATGTGAATTCACTGATGTATATTTCTGCTTGTCTTACTTCTGTGAACAAGACTGAGTTTCACTAAGACTTGAGGACATCAGCAGCAGTACTTATGGCTGATGTGCAGCTGCTGCCAAAAGCAATAGCCCTCGCTCACCTCTTTTCTCTGATAAGGTTGTGTAGTGCACAATGGGTGCTGTGATGTCATTCCCTTGAATTTCCTCACTCCTGCAAACAACAGTCAATAATGGAAATACTTATTCATAACATCCTGGTTTGTATGACATGCTCAGCTCAGCCTTGGCTTAGTGATACTATGCAAATCTGTGGTCTCCTAGAGAAAAGCCTGCAGTCGTCATTTTGTTGTTTCCTGGATCCTTTTGTGTTCCTATGCTAGTCTGAGGCTTAGCATGCTGTCTGAACCAGAACTTGTGGTTGAGGTCTCTCCTTATGAACCACAAGCTAAAGCCAAGGTTCACTCTCGGCTACAGCTTACGGTTATTGAAGAAAGAGCTGAACCATGAGTTGAAATTTAGACCTTGGTTGAGTGTGATACAGCAGCAAAAAGGACCTGGGGAGGAGCAAAGCAGCTCTGAGCTCCTCTCTGAGAGACCATTCACCAGCAGCGTCTTAGCATGTCATGCTAACCCACCCAGTAGTAGAACATCTCATATCTTTCATTATTAAATGTTACCGGGGAAGAGAGGAGGTCTGCAACTTTTAGTGGCAGCCTCCTATTAGTCAAGTAGTCTAGTTCTGGACTAAAAAGAAAGGTACCCCTGCCCGTACGGGCCAGTCGTGTCCGACTCTAGGGTTGTGCGCTCATCTCACTTAAGAGGCCGGGAGCCAGCGCTGTCCAAAGACACTTCCGGGTCACATGGCCACCGTGACGAAGCTGCTCTGGCGAGCCAGCACCACGCAGCACACGGAAATGCCGTTTACCTTCCCGCTATAAAGCGGTACCTGTTTATCTACTTGCACTTAGGGGTGCTTTCGAACTGCTAGGTGGGCAGGAGCTGGGACTGAAGGATGGGAGCTCACCCCGCCGCGGGGATTCGAACCGCCAACCATACGATCGGCAAGTCCTAGGCACTGAGGTTTTACCCACAGCGCCACCCGCGTCCCTGAAGAAAACAGGGTGACAAATACAGTGATACAGTCTAGACATCTCTGTCCTTGTGGGGAGGCAGTTACAGACTCTTTGGCTCGTGTACTTCTTGCCTCTAATTTATATAAAGACAACTGAATTAGATCAGTGACTCCCATTCTCTCAAACTTACCAGGTGGGACTTCTGAACCTTTTGGCAGATTCGAACAAATGATAAACAGAGACTGTTGCTAGATTTCTCTTTCTAACCGCAAAAACATGAAAGGAAATTCCCCAATTAAACCTATCCTGTCTGCTGTTCTCCTACATTACCATTTAAAAAGACTTATTTTCATTAGTTGTTAGCTTCAGTTAACGCTATAAACATACAAAATAATAATAAGTATCATCAACAAAAAGGAATACAGAACTTGACAAATGTTTGATGTAACTATCAGCTGAAGGTTTTAGTCACTTATGTTCCAATATAGACAATCAAATAAAGGTGTCATTTCATAATGTTCCATGCATTGATGGAGAAAAGAAAACCATGCTAAATCAATTTTACAAAATCAATGAAAGGATACCATGTTGAATATGCTGGTCATTTTTCCAGTGTGATGTTCTATTTGTAGAGTGGTAAATAAGTCCACAAGTACAATGTCCCATTCTTGCAAAATTCAAACTTCAAAAAGATTTATATCTAGAGATTTCCAGGGTTTTTTTGCTATCACTAATTTAGCTGCTGTTAGTAAATGAAGGATAGTATCTTTATTGGTTACATTTTGAGTCTGGGGGTCTGGGGAATGCCATTACAATTTTTAATCTGGTTATGTGATTTTCCCCCCTTTCAACTCACTCTTAACTTCCATATTTTAAGGTATCTTGTTGTATATCTTATTTTAGACATATTTTAGATATTTCTGGTATTTCATATCATTTCTGTACTGCAACCCACTTTAATGTATTTTGTATGTTATGATATTTATTTGTACATTTGTTGGCTTTATTGTGTCCAGGTCTGTGACTGCATAATAAAGAATCTGTATCTGCATCAGTGATATAGTTCAGCACTGGTCTATGGACCAACTAGGAACATTAATGGATCTCATTTTTGCAATTTCCCTATTTATGGAATTCCCACACAAGGGATATTCAGTTGAACCTATCAATTCTGACTTTTTACTGGGCTTTGTAGATCCTTTTGTTTCAAACTGCTTTTAGGTAACACATCTATTAGTTAAGAACTTGGGATATCTATTACATTGTTAATAGATATCCCACCACTAGTTTTAAACCTGTGTTTAATTAATTTTATGGGTTGCTTGGCTTGCCTCTTTTTTGACTACTGTTTTATTGTGTGTTTACAGTTTTATGTAGGCCTCCTTGGGAGGTTTTTCTGTGCTGAAAACAGGCCTAGAAATACTGTAAATTGATGGTTTGTCCTGTGCATGCTTAGCAGGGAAAGCTGCACTGAATGCAGTGAGGCCTAATTCTGAGAATACACGTATAGGCTTGTGTTCTTAATTTGACTTCTGCCCAACATTCACAGGGTTTCAATTCATGTAACTCCCCCCCCCCCCAAGATAAGAGAGATGTACTTTCATGCAAATCTCTTCTTTATAAGCTGAAGCAGTTCATTTTGCATCTCAAGAATATGGCTTTTTTGTATGATCATTTAAGCATTAGAAATGAGGAAATTGTCTATACTACACTGCAGTAAAGGCCATTTTCTTTCTCTGTATCTTCATTAGTGCAAAATAATATTCACCTATCCATAGTTCTTTCTATATAATGACTCATGAAATGAAGGCTTTGTGCTCATTTTCTGCAAGGAATCATTTGCTTCTCAGGCACCCTTCTCTACATCCTTTGTGTTATGGAAGGAGATCCATGTATATATTTCCATTTCAAACCAATTTAGCACTTTGGTGGATTAATTATTTCAAAACCTTCAAATGAAAAACCCTTTAGAAAAAAATCTCATTTTCTAATGTCATAACCATGATAGTGTAATGGACCCAGTGAGTCCATGCTAGCAGGGGAACAAAAACTCTGAGGCCTCTTGGAAGCTTGCCAATACCATTGTGAAATGACGAAGTCCATGGACCTTTTGCATATTTCCAGCCCCACTTAGGAGCATAGATACTGGAAGCACTCGCAAATGCCATTTTTGGGTAAGTGGAGGGAAGAAGCATTTGGAAAAGGATTTTGATACATAGAAGCATCTATCATTGATTTCATCCAGAACAATGATTTTAAATCAGATTACAAAAAGGGGGGAGGGGGAAACGACAAATGAAATAACAATACATTCAAAACAGCCAGAAGATAAAAGTGAAATTAAAAGTTAAAAGTCAAAACAGTTTTAAAAACTTAAGACAATAAAAATTGTTTTAAAATGCCTGCATTATTAACAAAGTTCTTGTCTGGTGCCCCAAAAGACAAGAATATTTGGTGCTAGCATTCCTGGGACACCATTACCAAAAAAAGTGCTGTCTCTTGTTGCAACGAAACCTTACCTATGACAAAGGTGGTATTTTGAGAAGGTCATTGGCTGATTGCATTGGCTGATGTGGGAAATATGGAACAGGGGGGAACTGTTGGCTAGTAGAAAATAATCCCTGGAATTCTGGTGCAGTGCTCATTTATAGACAGCTGGAAGAGGAATAATAGAACATGGTAAGCATTAGAATTACAATGCAATTCTGTCCATGTGTATTCGGAAGTAAGTGCCATTGTAAGTGTGCATCATTAGTTCATAATGATGGGTGATACTTAAGATACTCTGACTTCTATTTTATCATTTTGAAATGTGATCCACTTTCTACATGTTGATTTATATTTTGCTTTCTTATTTGTTGGTCTTTTGAGTTTATTTCCGTTGATACGAGTTTTAATTTTCTTATTTCTATTTTCTACAGTATAGTAAAAAGATGTAATGTTAGCATAGGCTCCAGACAGGGTTAAGTCCCCCTCACAGACTCCGCCCCCCCATCACAAATCCAGATTCAGTCTAGATCTGGATAAGCATAATCTTAAAGAAGAAGAAGAGGAGGAGGAGGAGGAGGAGGAGGTTTCAGTTTGTAGTGTAATATAGGTTTAAAATGATTTGTCTTTAAAATTCTGCAGAGACCACCACCTTTACTGTATCCAGGTGGGAATAACAAGCAGGGTCGGCCCAAGTCATTTTTTATTCTAAGCCTCAATTTGAGGCGAACCACAAATGGCACTCCTCTTCCCACCAGGGAAGAAGGGGTGAGTGAAGATCTACAATAAAATTTGGATTTTAATTAATTTTTATAATGTTTTTATAATGTTGCACTATTTTAGTGTTGTTAGCCGCCCTGAGCCCGGCTTCGGCTGGGGAGGGCGGGATATAAATAAAATTTATTATTATTATTATTATTTATTATTAGGGACAAGGGCGGGGGGGGGGGAGAGATTGAATAAAGTTCAACAGAGGAACAGTCTCCATCTGGAGGTTGTGGCCTCTCTTTCCTTAGGAATTTTTAAGCAGAGGTTGGATGGCCATCTGTCATGGATGCTTGAGATGCCTACATTGCATGGAGTTGGACTATATGACCCTTGGGGTCCCTTCCAAATCTAAAATTCAGTGATTCTATGATCTACATCGGGATCTGCTACCCCGTGGATCCTGCCACCTGAGGTGAACACCTCACTTTGCCTCAGGGGCCAAAGTAATTAAAAATTTGTCAGTAACAACATCTAAGCTCTAGGTTGACCAGTGCAATCTTATGCATTATGTCTATTCAGAAATATGTCCCATTAAGTTGTGCTGTATGGAAACTTAGTGATTCATTGTCTACATCAGATATAGCTTTCTAAATGTCACATACATAATGCACACAATAATTCTAATAAAAAATTAAGAACATTAAAAATAAAGGAGGGGTAAAGGGCAGACCACCCAAGACTAAAGTCATCACAGCCCTGCTTTATGCCACACTAATTTGTCTGATAACATTAATTGTAAAAACTGCTTTTTATCTCAAAATTAAACAATAGATATTATAATCCCCATGTCTTTATCATACTGAGGCTGTGCTGCATGATTTCTGGTGTCCTGAAACATGGGCATTGCTCTAGCTTTCTTATTTGGGAACATATCCTTGACTTTCTGCCAACCAAACTGTCTAGCCATATCAAATGTCCTTAAGCAAACTGCACTTGATTACCTTGGAGACTGCGGCTGTTAGATTCACATGGAGTTTACTACAAAATTGGTATAGACTAATATCCTCCTGTGCCCTACTTCACTTCTGCTCTGTGTATGTGTGTGTGAATTGAAAAATGATGCAATCTGTGATTGGAAGCAAGTGTGTTCTTATGGCATATATGTGCAAGAGCCGTTTAATGCCAGAGCCTCAAAATGCTTGCATTATTAGATAAATGCACAATTTTAAGAGCAAAGGTTGCTGTGTGTGTGTAGCTAATGCTTAATCTTCAAGTGCTTTGTACATAACAACTGAGCTGTCTTGGCATATGATGATACGATAGTAACATATAGAATATTTGGCACACTGTATCCTACAGATATAAATAGCTACAACAGCACGCAGTAGCATGGCTGGCATAGCTACAGCCATATCCTATATTACATTTGGCAACTCTGTCAAACACTGTCACGTTCACTTTCTGTTAGTTGCACTGCCACCATTTTTAAAAAATAGATCCTGGTTATCATGCCCTCTGTTTTGAGATGAGGAGATCAAGAATTAATCTCACCTGCTCTGAAAAGCCATTTGTCACTCTGGAGCAAGATGTTTTTGGATGCAGAGCAGTGGCTTGAGCGAGGAACTGCTATCAAGCCCAGAAACCACATAATAGCCTTCAACTCAGGGCATCAGATCAGCCAAACCTGCTTTTTTTAGTTATTTCTGAAATTGGAATCAATTATGACTTGAGTGATTTATTTGCCAGTTAATTATCACCCAGAACAAAAACTGACTGCTGAGGTAAGAAGAGGCATTAATTAACAGGCTGAAAAACAACCCAAAATGCTTATCTAATTGGTGATTAGAAAGTACAATGGATAAGGAAGTTCTGAGGTGTTAAAAATATTCATTTTTTATTACTTGTAACTCTCTGTCCTGTCCATGTGGTGATGGAGGAGACTTACACAATTTTTCCAAGGCAGAGACTGACAAGGGAGAGACTTAAACAATTCAGTTTCACAAAAATACCATTGAACACCCTACTGATTGGTATCATGCAACAATTATTGGATGAACAATTGAAAGAACTCAAAGCTGAGATGTGCAGAATGCTGAATGAAAATGGTTCAGAGAAAAACCAGACCAAAGAATTCACAGAACCTGTGGGGGGAAAGTGTTGATCAAGATCTACCTGAATATGAGAGTGAAAAGGCAAAGTGGGAAACAGCGGAGAAGGAAATGATCTCCACACAGGTGTTTGGAGGACTGAAACAGACAAATGATGGCATTGGGATGCTGTAAGAGAGGAATGGAATTTTGGACAGAGACATTAAGAAACATCCAGAGATGGCAGAGATAGAGCTGAGATAGAAAGGCTTGTGTACAAGTTGAAGTGAATGCAGAAGAGAAAACCACCAAGCTTCTGATGATGTGTTTGGAAAACGAATGGAAGAAATGGAAATGGAATTATTTTTTCCCTTTAAATTAAGATGGGAAAACATGGCCAATAGGAAATGGGACTAGAAAATATGGAATTGGATAAGAATTAACAGAAATACAACAAGTAAGTACAGTGGTACCTCGGGTTAAGTACTTAATTCGTTCCGGAGGTCCGTTCTTAACCTGAAACTGTTCTTAACCTGAAGCACCACTTTAGCTAATGGGGCCTCCTGCTGCCACCACGCTGCTGGAGCACGATTTCTGTTCTCATCCTGAAGCAAAGTTCTTAACCTGAGGTACTATTTCTGGGTTAGCGGAGTCTGTAACCTGAAGTGTATGTAACCTGAGGTACCACTGTAATTGTTACTATTACTCTGATAAGAGTTTTTGCAATCTCTTGGAGAAAAAAGTCATTGTACTGGATTGGAGAAAGACTATTCTTGACATTTAGCAATAATAACACTAGAAGAATCCCTTTTAGACTATTTGTGTGGAAAGAAAACTAAATGAACGAGATGTCTGGGACTGAAGACTGGGAAAACACTGCCTAGCAGAATGAGGAACAGCTGGACGTTACCCTGGGATCCAGCTAGATACTATCCAGGAGTGAATGTTTTGAATATTTTGAATAATCTCTTTATATACATAATTGGCAGGCGGAGAACCGGAAATCCCCCTTATTTCTATCTTCTAGCATTCTGCTTATGTTTCTTTCATATGATAGCTTTTGTCTTCTTCTGTTAACTTTACCCATACTCATGTTTTGTTCTGTTTTTGATGTCCTCTATTCAGAGTTAATGAGGCTACACATAGGAAGGTGATAGAAGGATGATGAAGGACCCTGGTAGGGAAGGGAAGATCTCCCAGGGTGAGAGGCTGGGAGAAGAAAGGGAAGATCTGCCAGGTGAGAGCTGGGTGGGTGCACCACCTTTTGTGTGGGACAAAGGTTAACATGCACCTCTGATAGAGGATTTTGTTTTGTTTTTCTTCCACTTCTTCTCTCTGTTCTTTCTTTCTTTCTTTCTTTGGTTGTTCTCCTTTTTTCTATTTTTATTTAGGTTAGTTTGGATTTTATTGTATTGTATGCTGAAAAGTTTCAATAATTTTTTTAAGCCCCAAATATGGACTGCTCAGAGATGTGGGCTTTGGGGGGGGGGCAGATTTCCTGTGTGATGGCTCCAACTTGTGCACTGGGTTCTACTTCAGAAGACATCTGAATGAGGAAGTAAACATAACACAAATGTGTTAAGTAATGTATCCTTGCAGAAGAGAAGCAACTCAACTGCATACTAAGGATTGCTCTAGCCCCTGAGGGATTGACTGAGCCTCTGGGCTTCTAATTGCCTATCTCCCACAGTAATTTTCTGTTAAAATTAATCACCACTTTTATTGTGTTATAATTAATGTAGATACAGCGGCGGAGTATATGCCCGAACTGCCCAGGGCAGGCTCGTGGGGTGCACCCCTGAGGGAGCCACAGTTCAGGGTAGGGGAAGGGTGGGGAAGCTGCTGCCCACTGTCCTCCTGTTCTCCACCGCAGGGTCAGGCCTGACCCAGCAGCGGAGGTGCTGCCACCAGGCGCGAGGTGTGCCGCGGCCAAGGAGGCTCCGCCCATCCGCCTGCTCTCCTCCCCTGGGTCAGGCCTGACCCAAGGGTGAGCAGAGCTGCGCCAGGCACGAGTATCTCAGCCAAGGTGCAGCTCCTTCTGGCGTGGTGCCAGGCTCCAATGAAGGAGCCTTGCCCTAGGAGTGCCTGTTTGCGCCCCCTCTCAAAATTGCTTGACACCCCTGGTACACCTCTGTGTAGACATAATGTAGATGTATGTTCTTGCTCAGGTGACTCAAACTCTTAAGTATCAGTGGAAAGTTTTCCTAACCTCTAAATTCAATTTGCATATATTGAAAGCTACCTTTGATTTGTTCCATGATCTCTGCTTTTTCACACATTTCTGGAAGGCATTGTAACTGTATAACCCCCATTGCACTCTAAGCTTTATACAAACAAATAAAAAAAAACCTTTCCTGATTATTTGTTTCATTAGTAACATTCTTCAGATCAAATTTACCTAATCCATGGTTCAGTCTACTAACGGGAAATCAGTTCAGTGAACAAGAATTTATATAACAAAAGAAATGCTCACTTTGGGAATCCTCATAATACTCTGCTCATTGAAAAAAATGCTAACCTCCAGACTTTTTATTTTTTACTCTAATGCTCTCGTGTTTCACTTCGGATTTAGCTGCAAACGAGAGACTCTATAAAGCCCTTTAATCCATCAATCTCCTATTTGCTGAAGTACAAGTTTCATGGTGCCTCAAAGTTTGCTTTATTTCTTGTTATTTTTATTTCTTATCACAGCTGCTATCCATAGGCATGATACATTTAATTTTATTGCATATTTTACCATTCTTCACTTTCTAAGCAATTCATCTTGAATATTCATTAATATCTCTTTATTTTAAGAATTTTAGGCATGGGTCTGCTTTTCACACCCACTGTCATGATGCAACTGGCATTGTTGAGCATTTCCTTTCTTGAAATGTAGCTACACTACTAATATGTTCCTTTTCTGCCTGTCAAGTAACATTATATATTTTTCTTTTCTCAGAAGTTATGATAAGCTCTTTCGGCTATTGCACCACAACTAAAACTATTCAGAGATTTATTTATTTATTACCTAGTCAACTGGGCAGTCAAAATGCAGTTTTATTTATTTCTGGCAGTAGCAATTCATATCTCTAGAAGGGCATTGGTGGACTGGCATTCTGTTTGGAACCTTGTTTTCATGGTTCCTAAAGCAGAGGAAGTTACCCAGAATCAAAAGGAAACGTTGGGGTATATCAAAACAAGTACCTCTCTTAGTTATATTGGTATCATAATCCACAAAGGAATGTACCAAATTGGAATCAATGCAGAGTCATGTATAAAATGTTGGCCTTGGACCAGAGGCGCCTGGGTTCAGACCCCTGCTTGAGTCACTCAGACATACTCATCCTCACCTACCTTGCAGAGTTGCTGTGACGATAAATTGGGATGTGCTGTCCTGAATTATTTAGAGAAACAGCAACACTGATAAATAATTCCAGGATAGCACAGGATATAGTGGACAAGACGCTCACCCTTTCCCCCAGAGCCATGAAATAATTAGTAACAAAAAGTGCACATGAAGAGAGAAAGATATTCAGTAGGCTGGTTTCTAGACACATTCACACACCCTTCTTTAATACCTGTCTAGGCAAGCAAGAGGCATTATCAGAGTTCAAGGCCAGGCAAAAACACTCAAGGGCAGTGAAGCAGAGCTAGTGAAGAAATGGGCTGTGGGGAGAGATAGAGGTGCTTGGAGGGCCACATCTGGCCCCTGGTTCCCAGGTTCCCCACCCCTGATGTTAAGACTGGCTTCTAATTGCCCTTCTGTGCAACCCCAGCGAGAAAGAGCTGCTTCAGGTGGATTAGAAACGGCTGCATGTGTGTCTCTAAAGAGGAATGCAGTATCATTTGCATTCTCTCAACTATGCAGTAGACTAGAGGGACTAGGAAAGGTTTGTTTCTCGCATGGTTGCCTAATTGGACTACTTTGTGTTATAGAGAGCATCCTTACATACAAATGTGAATGGTGTGGTAGCACTTTTGGATAAACTCTTTCCTTAAAGGCTTGCATCACAGTCAGTACACAGAGAGAATGTACTAGTGGAGCTGCACTTCTAATAGCAAATCATTTCTAATCAAGTAAGGAAAGTGACGTCACTCTTGGTAAATGTAAAGTTGCTTTTTCTGAATGCAGCGGCCAAGTAATTTTGCTCTGCAGTGGAGAGAAATAACAAGGCTGTTGCATCGTTGTCCAGCTGGACTAGAATGGGCTGCCAATTTCCTTGTTTAAGGGCACACAGCATTATGCAGCCCAGTAATCATAATTGCATCCATTCATGTTTCAGTTTGTTCAACTGTGAAGGAATGGGAGTGAAGGGAAAGGACCTTTGTGGGATTTGCATTCATTATATCCAAAATCCCATGGCACTTTTCTTTCTAATGGCCCTGTGTCTCATAGAGCAGGGCTTTTTTAAAGGATCCTAATAGGTCTGGGCATCGAAATCCTATTGCAATTGACTATTCTAGGAGTGTCTATAGTACCTTGCATTTTAAATATCATAATGCTAATGGCGCACAAATGATCTGGCTTATACTGCAAGCACCTTTTTAACTAGTCCTGTGTTAAAATCTGTCCTTCAGTTTCTCAGAGGTTTCCATCCACCGTGATGTGAAAAAGCATTCCATTTTTCTGCCTTGTTCTCAGGGCACTTGAGAATTTCATAAGAATTTCAACAGGTGCACAGTTCTGAGCTAACCTCCTTGATGCAGGTATCGGAGGATGGTATGTGGTTTTTTTCTTTCCAGTAAACATATCTCCAGCATTCTGAAGTCTCACTGGCTGCCTGGACCTCCTGATCTGAAGAAGCCTTGTAAGACTTGCCTCATAATGTCTTTCCCTGGGATTTAATTGAAGTGCAGAAACTTGGAAAGGTTTCAGAGTGAAGACCACTGATGAGATGAGGTCACTAGCCTCACGTAGGCAATTTGCAGACAATTTTGGATTAACTTAATCAAATATATTTCACTATGAAATCTTCCAGATCATACTTAAGGGCTTCCCCCCTTTCAATGAATGTCATTACTTGTTGTTTTTAAGGCCAAAGTACCCACTTTTCAAGGGACGCAGGTGGTGCTGTGGTCTAAACCACTGAGCCTCTTGGGCTTGCTGATATATTACCAAAAGGTCACATAATTAGTCTAACCACCTATTTTCAGTGACTTTATGAAAGATACATTCACATTTCCTAATCTTGTGGGTAAGGCCCAGTATGCTTAGAGCACAAGTCAACCCTTATGTGGACTTCGTTAACCAATCAAACTTCGAAATGTAAATTTATTTGGTTTAAATCATTTATATCCCACTCTTCATCCCTAAAGAGAACAGAGCAAAATGCACTCAGACACAAAGAGAGAAAGGAAAACCTTAAAGTAAAAATATCTAGGAAAGCTAAGGAGCCTGAGGTTTTAACTACTTTCCTAAATGCAAGCAGTGAAGGAAACAACATTTTACTTCACAACTTCTATTGAACTATTTACAGTGGTTCCTCTAGTTAAGAACTTAATTCATTCCGGAGGTCCGTTCTTAACCTGAAACTGTTCTTAACCTGAAGCACCACTTTAGCTAATGGGGCCTCCTGCTGCCGCCACCACGCAATTTCTGTTCTCATCCTGAAGCAGAGTTCTTAACCTGAGGTACTATTTCTGGGTTAGCAGAGTCTGTAACCTGAAGTGTCTGTAACCTAAGGTACCACTATATATGACTTCTGTGATGCATTTTGGGTAGCCTTCATAAACTGACTCATCTTCCATGAAATTTCCCTAAAATACACAAAATACTGTTTCTTCATTTATTATCAATTTTGTATATTTGTATAATATATACACACAACAGATGAAGGAGACAAGAGAGACCTTAGTTCCAAATGGTAGGTTTTGGTAACTAAGGTTTCAAGATCCCTGTTGTAGCTTGGCTGTATATTAGAGCTTCTAGACACACCCTTTGCAGAGATGAGTGACACAAAAAGGGGAGTCTGAGAAGTTCCCTGGAACAGGACTTTGTAGAGCCCAACTTTTGGTTAGTCTGCTGAGCCACAGCTTCCAAAAGAGGGTGGCCACAAACAAAAGACTTATTGCTGCAGAATATTGCCTCACACTGGCATCCTTCAGGAGAGTTTTGGGAGACTACAGCCCAGCCTGGGATGGTGTGGTGGCCTCAAGGAAGAACAACCTGCTCCTGTCACGCCATTCTCACATGACAAAGGAAGGGAAAGTTTAGTCTTGCTGACCTGGAAATCACACTCCCTCTTCTACCCTTCTTCCCAGCACTTGACACAACTGTGAGTTTTATATTTCGTATGATTTATTTTTATAAACGTTAATGATTAAGTGATATATAAATGCCTCAAACAAACAAACAATGAAACTGATGTTTGCAGTTAAATAGCAATCTGACATTCCTGAGAGATGCTGGTGCTGTTTCATAAAAAAAACCCTTTAACTTGATGAGCCCCATTTAACACAAAGGAATTTACTTTTCAGTAGGCATGTATAGGTTATTACCGTAAACCAGTTTGTGTGGCCATTTGCTTTTTTATCATTTTTATTTTTAAAGAAGGGAATGGAAGAGAAAGCAAAAACACCAAGTTTATGTTTAAAGCACTCAAAATCATTATTATTTGTCCAGACAGATCTAAACCTTTCCCGATAGTACATGACCGGAAGCGTGGGGAGGTAAAAACTGAATCTGGCTATATCTGTTATAACAAGAAGTCACCCTCCGTAGCAAATGCTATTGACTCCTAAATAGGAAATACTAATTTTAAACATGAACTGATATATCCAGTGGTTACTTATAATTCTGTGATTCTTTTGGCTCATTCCCTGGTTAAAGGTTAGATCATTTCCCACATGGTGAGATAATAAACCTAAGGTGAGATAATAAGCATTTAAGGACTCCAGGCCCTACAAGAAAATAACCATATAATTTGCGTAAGAGAGGAAAGAGTTCATCATCCTGATGCAGGGAGAAACAATAAATTTTTAAAAGCAAGCTGATGATGTAGCTGTTCAAGGTCCTGAAAATAAAAATAAAAAATCAGTTTGGCACTGTGATCCTAATCATACCTCGATATGTTTCTGCAACATTCTCCCTGCTTGAATATTATGCTTTTCATCTTATGCCCTTGTTTGAGATCCCTGGCCTTCTAAATTTAGGTAGATCATGCCTAGAAAGGGCTTTTTTCCTTTTGTGGTATTTGTAGGCTGAGAGCTCTTCCTGTGGAAGCCCAACCAGGACCAAATTTAATGCCCTTCTAGCATAAAATGAAACAAATCTTTGCAATGCCTGACCAATACAGATATTTTCTGATAATGCCCTAAGGGAACAATATTTGGTATTTCATATCCTAAATACTTGAAACTTGACACTTGAAACATAATTATTTAGGTTTGGTTAAATGAGTTCAAACTAATAATAAGTTGTTGCTGATATGAGAAAAGTGCAAGTTTGAAAACAAAGTGAGCCATAGAAACACAGACTGATAGAGTTGTGTATTCCAGCAAATGATTTTGTAGGTGCTGTGGGCAGGTGTTTTTGTTTTTTTTATTGTAACTGTCAATACTCACACTCCTGGTACCATGCAGTGTCTGCTTTTTATTATTAAACCCATCTTATTATGGGCCCTCAAACTCTCAGAGACAAAGCAAGCTGCGTCAGTGCAATGTTACTTTTCTAGAGCTAATGCTAAGTTAATCACTGATTCTGTTAGGCGTGCGCACGGGGGTGTGCTTCGCTTGTTTGCCAGAGGGAGAGCAAAACATATTAGTGTTAATTATTACAATTTCAATTCCCAGATCACCTGCCTGAAAATTACAGAGAGTTCTGTACATGCAGTAATCTACTATCTATCCTCATGACTGGGTAGTCTATTAGCATCCAGAGCTATGCTGGACATGCTAGGCAAAATCTGCCAGAAAGGCAGTTCTTGAATGGTCACATCAGCATTATTAGCAGAAAATTCATCTGTGTTCTTTAGCAATTAAACATTGCTGGAATTGATTGGATTTAAACATTCATTCATCCAGGGAGTAAAATATCTAATTTGTAAGTGAGCTGTTTTTAACTGAATCCATTTTAATGCAGATTCCTGGGCTATTAGAAAAAGCGAGATCAATAAATCCACAGGCCGTAATGGGAAATGCACCTAATTAAAGATGTGTTTGATTTATCAACACTGTTGACAGCTGTAACCACAAAATGGAGACGTGGAAATGTAGGGATTAAATGGTTACATATCGTGTTAACCTAACCACTAAAATGAATTTAAAAATACTATGTGTTAATATGACATAGACCACTTTTCCATTATTGTGAGCTTTACATGTTCTCCCAGGCACAAGGAATACACCTGTGCAGCTGGGAGAATGTTTAAATGTGACTAGGGCTGATTGCAGGGTCTTCCCCCACAAAAATCAACATCCTAGTGGGTGAGACAGATTCTGTGTAATATGTTGCCATATGTTTCGATCATTTATATGAATGCTCAGCCATCTGGAAGCCACTCACTTATGTGTGAGAACATGTGAAAAACTCAACGTCCTGCCACAATTTTCACTAGATATATGGCAAAATTAACCTTACACCTTAGCAGGATTATACAGATAATCCAGCTGGTTCATCTTTATCCTGAACTAAAAATCCCCAAGAACTTTAGCCTTTCTTCCCCCTCTTAGTCACCCTTTTTAAATACCTTTTCCAGATAAATGATATCCTTTGGGGCATGAGTTTAAGTGGAAGCGTACTTTGTACTTCAAGTCTGCTGTGAAAACTCTGTAGCATGAGGTCCTCAGAATCAGATTAGTCTGTTATGTTTGGAGGATTTCTCCAAAACATAAATGGTAGAGGCCATTTATTTTGTATGTCCTTCACATTGTTTCCATTCCCACAGGCTTATGAAAATGGTGACCAATCTGTATTCTGATACATGGATGAAAAATTACACTATGTTTAACTTAATGCATTGTTATTGTGCATACTTAATAATACAGTTTCCCTAGTCCTGTAAACAGATTGTCAAGTGTGTATTCCACCACGCCCCATACAGTCACAGATGGAGAGGGACATGCCCATAATAGCTTCAAATAAAATCTGTGTACCCACTGAAAAGCATTTTTCAAATGTAGGTCACCCACTGTGAGAACTTGCTAGATGAGCAAGATGGAAATTTTAATTTGTTTTACAATACCAATATCAAATTGTGTGCTTTTATTAAAGTAATTACGTTGCAGTGTAATAAAAGCAATTGTCACCATTCTGTTCTGCTCTCCCTTTTGTAGAAGAAGAATTAATAAGAAGGTGCTGGTGTGTAACTCAGTCGAGTGTCACTGAAAGTGAGATACTTTGAATGCTAGATTTGGGCTTAGGTGAGCTAAAGTGACATTCCCACTCAGTCATGTACTAACAGGAGGCTAGACTTGGGCTAGTCAGTATCTCTCCAGTTCAGTCCCAGGAGGCAGTTTACTGCTTGTTGGCTGAATGCAGTAAATATTGTACAAAACATTATATTTTAGGGGCCTAACACGTTGCATGGACGCGGGTGGTGCTGTGGGTAAAACCTCAGTGCCTAGGACTTGCCGATCGTATGGTTGGCGATTCGAATCCCTGCGGCGGGGTGAGCTCCTGTCTTTCGGTCCCAGCTCCTGCCCACCTAGCAGTTCGAAAACACCCCTAAGTGCAAGTAGATAAATAGGTACCGCTTTATAGCAGGAAGGTAAACGGTGTTTCCGTGTGCTGCGCTGGTGCTGGCTCGCCAGAGCAGCTTCGTCACGCTGGCCACGTGACCCAGAAGTGTCTCTGGACAGCGCTGGCCCCCGGCCTTTTAAGTGAGATGGGCGCGCAACCCCAGAGTCGGTCACGACTGGCCCGTACAGGCAGGGGTACCTTTACCTTTACCTTTAACTACACGTTACTAAAGAAATTTCTGATAGGCTATTTTCTTAAAAGCACCCATAGGGTAGACAGTTTGGCTTGTGGATTTGGAGCTGAAGCTGTCCTTATACAAATCATTCCTTCCTGGTGCAACTATTAACTGTAGGGGGGGTGTAAAATGCTCATGTTGTACCCATGTGTTTTCCCCTCCCTTCCTAATAGCATTTGTGCCAAATCACCTCCCCACCCTGTGAATGGTGATTTGCGGTTGCTTTTAGGAAATAATAATAATTTTAAAAACAGTTTCTCTCTCATGCAATTTGCAGTTTGGCATTGTGTAATAAATATGCCCTACAAATGATACCTCATGAATTCCAGCAGAATGGAAGCCACAAGGACGCTGATCCTCAGTATTATGAACCATAGGCTGTTCCTTGTAAAAGCAATGAAAACAAACTTTAACATTTGGAATATACCAAAAGAGCCCATTGCTGGTGTGACTTAACAGATTAGTTGCAGGAGTTCAGGACCCTGGTTAGCTCTTTCCAGGTAGAGGCTGGATGCAAGGCACTATGAGCAGCTGCTAAGGTATTTGCCTCTGCTCTAGGCTGCAGCCAGGCATGGGCTTTTATAGCCCTGCAGCTGAGGGATTCCTTCTAGCTCTTGACCCCTTTGAGAGAAGCAGTTGACCTTGCGCCCTGTTACTTAGGCATGGGCTCCTGTTGGCCTAGGATCTTCCTGCTGCCCCTGACTGTCTGGTAGTACTGGCTCAACAACACGTGGCTAGTAGGTTTACTGTGTTCTGAATTTCCATGTATGACCACTCTGAAATTAGTTTCCTAGAAGAGCCACAACATAGGCCAAACACACATGCATGTGCACATGTGTACACATGTGTACAAACCTAGAGCAGCAGTCATGCATAATGTTCTGGGCTGAGTAGTGGAGAGAAAGAACTTCTGCATGTTCAGAGTTAAGCCCATTACCCAGTATCTCAATTCTGTGTTAGGAGGTATATTATTCTTTTTAAGTATACTGAAACGACTGAGAGCCCAGCTGAAGAATGTGAAAAAGATTCAGTAGCTCACACAACCTCTCCCATAAAGCCACAGTAGAGTATGACAGGGATTTCTTTCTTAGGAATGGATGCATCTTCATTGCTTAAAGAAAGATGGAATGGAACTTTCTAGCCAACAGCAAGATTCTTGCACTTGGTTCCACAAGGAACTAATCTGTGAGATTTTCACCAGTCAGTGAGTCACAGGTTGAAAAAGATGATCCTGAAATCATGAAGTGTAATATCATGATACCGCACAATACGTTGGTTTGGATCTCAGCAAAACGTTTTCCAATGAGTGTGATGGATGTCTTTTATTTTCCCTGTTTATAATGGTGTGAAATTGTACAAAGGAACATTTGGGCACCAAGTTAAAGAAATAATATATTCCCATGGTTTCACTGTTCTTAGTGTAATTTAGAAGCACTGAGACTCCTTTCCACCTCAGCATGTTATTTATTTGTTTTTTTCTATTAATAAAATATAATTACAAGCCCCCAAACGAGTGTAGTGAATTACAAAGTGAACATAACCATAGATTTCTTCACAGAAAATATGTACCACCACCCACCCTTACTCAACTCAAAACTCTGAAAAATAAGAAAACAAGAAGGAACTAGCAGGATATTATTCAAATCAGTGGGATGGAAATATTGTGCACCCTTACATTAATTATTCCTAAAGGGTTGATCTCAATCCCAAGAGCACTTCCTAAGAGCAATAACCAGCAACAGTATGTTCTCAGGCTTAAGATCACAGTGGATGATGCTGAGCTCAGGTATTGCCAGGATGAGTAGTGCATTATTTGAAATATTTTGATTCCTGAAATCAAACAAAACTTGCCTTAGCCACTCAACATTTATTGTCATTTCATGTTGTAAATATAAATTCAAAATGTTTAACTTGAACAGGAATAATGTTAATAGTAATAAAAGAACCGTGCATTTTTTTTCAAACGCCTTTTAACTGCTATCACTTACAAATAAATTCTTTTATAGGAATTTTATGGATGGCATATGATCATAAAATAATACACTGCTTTGGTTAGTAGTGCTGCAAATATTGCAAATAGTTGTGAAAGATGTCTGTAAAGAGTATTTAATGTATAGCACCTGAATAATTTTGTAACATTTGTCTGCTCTACTGTTGTTGAAATCAGAGCACTGCTTTCTTTAAGAAAGCTAGTTCTGTGGAACTGCATGTGTGTTCTAATAATAACTAAATATTGTAAAATAGTTGGTTGCTAATTATTTAAGGTTTGGGCTCTCCATAGGCCTCTGTATGGCTGCTGTTGGAATTGAATGCTAGCTTAGATGGACCTTTCGTCTGATTCAATAAGGTACTTCATAATTATATTGTTTGGGCTGCAACCCATACTGAAACTTCTCACCTGGTCACAAAAAGCCTTTATTTATATAATCTTTGATTTTCTAGAATTTCCAAATCTTGTGACATTTGCACAACCATCATTAGATCAGTATCATTAGATCAGAACAAGCAGCATTTACCTGAGCTACCTGCTGGCTCAGGAAGGCTCTCCTCCAGAAAACGCAGAGAGTCCAAGCCTGGCAGCCACTATCAATAGAAGTGGTCCCAGAGATCACTGTAAACTCTTGTTGACTAGCTGGCTGTGCCTATGTGTGCGTTGAATAAATACAAGTGTATTACCCATGCATCTAAGCCAGGGGTCAGCAAACGTTTTCAGCAGGGGGCCGGTCCACTGTCCCTCAGATCTTCTGGACTATATTTTGAAGGGGAAAAATGAACAAATTCCTATGCCCCACAAATAACCCAGAGATGCATTTTAAATAAAAGCACTCATTCTACTCATGTAAAAACACACTGTAATCCTTATTCTTTCCTGCAGTGACAGTTTCCCCCCATGATGTTTTCCCATCCATATATGATGTTATATCCTTCATTCCTACAACTGTTGATGGTTCCCGTCATGCCTTGGGAAAAGCGGTTATTCAAAAGTCTCTGCATCACTTTGTCCCATGATTTGGCTTCCAATAAACAAGCTGTCTTCGCCATTTTTCCAGCCTAGGAAGAACGGTCTGAATCCAGACTGCAAATAGTTAATCCAAAAACTTCTATTCCTGCAGCTGGTAGACTCCTTTCCTCCCTGCCGCTGACTTATGGACAATTGTCCTTATCTCAAACACATTCCTTTTTGGATAATGGAGGTTAAGGAGAACTTTGCTCCATATTTTCAAAGTGTAGCATTCCCCACTCTCTTCCCTCTCAGTTCCTTTCTCTCATACCCACAGTTCCAGTTTTGTCAAATTCCATATTTATATTCCAATTTCTTCCCTCCTCACTTCTACAGATTTAAAAAAAAAACACACAAAAAACCCCTTGCATACCAGTGCAGGCACGCAGTATCATAAATGCAGAGAAAAACTTGGATATAAGCAAACCATGGGCTCCCCTCCCCCATTGTCTCTTTCACGAATGAAATCCCCTCTCAATCCAAACCTTTTAAATCCTTGTAGCTGGGTTCATTTTTGCAGTTTCTTATCTCATCATCTCTAGTACGCGCCTGTACTTTACTCCAATTTTTATATTAAAAAAACCCCAATTAGCAGGGTAACCTGTGCTTCCAGGAACAGGATCGGGGGTTGCGGCAGCCGGAGTGCTCCATGCACCCACTGCCTTTGCCTGCCTTTGCATTCCATGGGAAAGCGAGTGTCAGACCATCAGGCAAACTCCGGGTGAGAGCCAGGTTCCTTTTCCAATCAAAGAGAATGCAGAAAATGCTGTTCCCCCATCATTTTCTGTTTATCTCCATCTGTCTCTTTCCGCAGTGTTGGGAGAGGCGTCCATCCCCTGGCACACAGGAAACAGGAAGCCTTTCCTGCTCACTTTCCACCCCCTTTAATTTATTTATTATTAGTAGTAGTAGTAGTATTGCCATGCGCATAAAGCTGAATGGGCACAAATTAAGTGTGCATAGAATCATAGAGTTGGAAGAGACCACAAGGGCCATCGAGTCCAACCCCCTGCCAAGCAGCAAACACCATCAGAGCACTCCTGACATATGGTTGTCAAGCCTCTGCTTAAAGACCTCCAAAGAAGGAGACTCCACCACACTCCTTGGCAGCAAATTCCACTGTCGAACAGCTCTTACTGTCAGGAAGTTCTTCCTAATGTTTAGGTGGAATCTTCTTTCCTATAGTTTGGATCCATTGCTCCGTGTCCGCTTCTCTGGAGCAGCAGAAAACAACCTTTCTCCCTCCTCTATGTGACATCCTTTTATATATTTGAACATGGCTATCATATCACCCCTTAACCTCCTCTTCTCCAGGCTAAACATGCCCAGCTCCCTTAGCCGTTCCTCATAAGGCATCGTTTCCAGGCCTTTGACCATTTTGGTTGCCCTCCTCTGGACACGTTCCAGTTTGTCAGTGTCCTTCTTGAACTGTGGTGCCCAGAACTGGACACAGTACTCCAGGTGAGGTCCGACCAGAGCAGAATACAGTGGCACTATTAACTTCCCTTGATCTAGATGCTCTACTCCTATTGATGCAGCCCAGAATTGCATTGGCTTTTTTAGCTGCCGCGTCACACTGTTGGCTCATGTCAAGTTTGTGGTCAACCAAGACTCCTAGATCCTTTTCACATGTACTGCTCTCAAGCCAGGTGTCACCCATCTTGTATTTGTGCCTCTCATTTTTTTTGCCCAAGTACAATACTTTACATTTCTCCCTGTTAAAATTCATCTTGTTTTTGCCCAGTTCTCTAATCTGTCAAGGTCATTTTGAAGTGTGATCCTGTCCTCTGGGGTGTTAGCCACCCCTCCCAGTTTGGTGTTATCTGCAAATTTGATCAGGATGCCCTTGAGTCCATCATCCAAGTCGTTGATAAAGATGTTGAATAAGACCGGGCCCAAGACAGAACCCTGTGGCACCCCACTAGTCACTCTTCTCCAGGATGAAGAGGAACCATTGATGAGCATCCTTTGGGTTCAGTCAGTCAGCCAGTTACAAATCCACTGAGTGGTAGCATAGTCAAGACTGCATTTTACCAGCTTCTTTACAAGAATATCATGGGGCACCTTGTCAAATGCGTTGCTGAAATCAAGGTAGGCTACATCCACTGTGTTCCCTTCATCTACCAGGCTTGTAATTCTGTCAAAAAACGAGATCAGGTTAGTCTGACATGACTTATTTTTCAGAAATCCATGCTGACTATTGGTGATCCCAGCATTCCTTTCTAGGTGCTCACAGACTGTTTGCTTAATGATCTGCTCCAGAATCTTCCCTGGTATTGATTTCAGACTGACTGGGCGGTAATTATTTGGGTCCTCTCTTTTCCCCTTTTTGAAAATAGGGACAACATTTGCCCTCCTCCAGTCTGCCGGGACTTCGCCTGTTCTCCAGGAATTCTCAAAGATGACTGCCAGTGGTTCTGAGATCACATCTGCCAGTTCTTTTAATACTCTTGGATGCAGTTCATCTGGCCCTGGAGACTTGAATACATCTAAACTAGCCAAGTATTCTTGTACTATCTCCTTAGTTATTCTCGGCTGTGTTTCCTCTGCTGAATCATTTGCTCCAAATTCTTCAGGTCGGGTATTGTTTTCTTTATCGGAGAAGACTGAGGCAAAGAAGGCATTGAGGAGTTCAGCCCTTTCTGTGTCCCCTGTTTTGCATTTCACCATCTCCTCCTCTGAGTGACCCCACTGTTTCTTTGTTCTTCCTTTTGCTACATAACTTGTGTGCTTACTGTATGCGGCCTGAATTTCATTGGAAGAAAGGTGGGATATATATATTAAAAGTGTAGTGCAATGTAATGTAGATGCACTTCTAAACCTTTCCCTCCCATGTTACAGTTTTCGGGATCAAGGGTGACTTGATAGAAGGAACCTATGACCCAAAGTATAAAGACCATAACATTATCTTAGGCTGTAGCATTACTAAGGGCTCATTCTCATGACCCCATGTGAGGTGGAACATTGTATGGCTTCCCTCAGTAACAATTCCTATAGAGGTATTGTCCAGTCAAACACTGCAGTTGTAACGTTTGTATAACAACCAGTTAAGTCCAGTCACTATGTGGTTACTTTCTACACAACTGTTGTCTAGCTCAACAGCATATAATCAGCTCACATCCCCATGATCAACCTCCACTATACTACTACTATTCCAAGATTTATGGCAGCTGAGGTGTACTATTTCTGAATTCAAATTGGTACTGCACTTTATTCTTACTGCAAAAAAAGCTTTACCATTAAGGTTTCAGACTCTTCCCACACCCCACCCTGAAAGGAGCCCTGCTTTTCTGTTTCTTCAGAAGGTACTGATCCAGGCATATTTCTGGATTGGGAAACCCAGAGGAGAAACTCCTGCAGAAACAGAGGTCCTGTGCTGCTCTGAGGGGATATTATTTTGCTGCATCTCTGCTTGGAAATGATTGAATCATTCAATCACCCCCAGTGCAGAAGCACAGTTGAAGTACTGGCCTCCAGCTGAGGCTCACTGGAAGAAAGCAAGGCCAGCACAGCGATACATGCAGAAATGTATCTGTCAGCCACCTCTGCAAATGGGTACTTTGAGCTCACCAGTGCTCCCAGGGCAGCATAATGGTCAGGATACTGGACTAGGGAGCAGGAAGACCCAGGTTCAAACCTGCCCTCAACCGCGATAGTCACTGGGTGTCCTTAGCCTTGTCACGCCCTCTCAGCCTAAGCTGCCACACAAGGGTGTTTGAGGATTCAAGCGGGGAGCCATGAACACCACCCCGAGCTACTTGGGAGAGGGGCAGAATATGACAAATAAAAATGCAATTGCTCCAGTATGCAGATGTTATTTATATCCTGAGTAGAAGTGGTAACCACTACCCAATAGTATTGTATGAAGAAAGCCCCCTGCCTGCCTTGAAGTGGTCATTTCTAATAACAGTCCCTTAAATCATAGATCTCTCCTTGTCTACCTGAGTGAAAACACTTGGGTGGGTGTCTGTTAATGATTAAAACTGGGTCTGTTTTGGTATGCTTGCATCCATGCAAGAGTGATGCATAACATACTGTCAGTGTAGTGTGGGGCGTGTCCTCGTGGCACCTGGGGTGCACACACTGGGGGTGAGGTGGGCAATGTGAGGAGGATGCAACAGAGCAGCCACTTGCCCTTCCAATCACTCGGACCGGGCTAATTTGAAGGGTGCCTGCCTGTTGTGTCCTCCTGGTGCCCTCCTGCCAGCCCCACGTGTCCTCCTGCCAGCCCCACGCTGCTTTGTGAGGCTGGCATGCCGGATCAGACTCACAAAGCGGCGTGGGGCTGGCAGGGGTGGTGTTAGGAGCAAAATGTGCCCCCCCAAAACTGCACCCAGGGCAATGGCCCCCCTCGCCCTGCCCACACTACGCCTCTGTGTCCATGCCTGGCTCTTAACAGTGAAAAGTTTAATTATATATCCTTCCCCCGTGTGACGCTATCTTTCATTGATTTTTCAGGGAGGTGAGGGAGAGTGGGATAAAACACTAATTATCAGCCCTTATAGCTATATTTTTCCTCTTGCTTTGTAATGTAAATGAGCTACCTTTATCTCCTTAAAAAGAAAAGAAGTCAGAGCCTCTATTGGTGTGTCTTCTGCTTTTAAGAGAGGAAGGGTCACCTGACTGCCGCCTCATCCTGCTCTTTTATCTGAGGGAAACCAAGAGTAATAGGTAGAGAGATGGGCATAGAATAGGTCATCACTGCTCAGATGCTTAAAGGACCCTGACTGAAGGAGAGCAGAGTTAGGCTGCTGGTGGGGGGTGGGGAGAGAGACAGAGAGACTCCGGAGCTGCTGCCTGCTTGCCTTCAGAGAGCAGAGAAAACAAAAGCGCTCAGCTGCAGTTTTGTGTTGCTGTGTCTGGCTTTAGCGGAAAATTCTAGACACCCGTGCTGAAAACTCTCAAGCACAGCCGAGGCTTCTTCCCTCTCAAGAAGATTATTTTCTTCCCTTACAAATGGGTTGGATCAGTACAGGTGGCCTCACTACCAGGAGAAGGCAGACTGGCTAAATGAGGACCATGGAAAGGTAGGCGAAAGGCTCTGCCTGGTTTTCCTGCTCTTATTTTTCTCTCCACTCCTGCCTTCCTTTCCTGTATTCGTGCCTGGAGCCAGTGCTTCAGTTTGCTGAGACCTAAAGGGAGAGGGGGTGGTCCAGCTGTGGGCATTTAAATCCCACATTGCCAAATTGGAATTTGTAGTGCTACCTGTAATTGAACAGATGTGGAACCCAAACTTGATCCTGAGTCTCACTTGGCTATATCGAGGATGTTCGGTATTTGCTGTAAATCTCTGTGCTGCTGTTCTTATTGCCAACCAACCCCTTTTCACTCAGGAAGTATCAGATAATTGTTATGTAGGAAGCAAAAAGCAGAAGAACGAACAATCCAGGGTGCCAGGAAGGCTGAACAGATGTACTGATTATTGGCTCTTTAGCAACAAAGGAAGAATGGACTTTTTGGAGTTTCTTGAGGTGGCAGCATTAGGAAATGAGGGGCAATTTTATTTTGACTGTTTGTTCATTTTATGAATGGTCAAGAGGTTAACTTTTGAAGGCTTCCTTCTTCAGCAATGCCAAAATCAGCTTGTTCCTTTAGAGTCACTTTCTGGCTGCTATTAAAAGCAGAGAAACCATTTAAAAAATTGCTCTGGTTCCCAATGGCTTAAAAGCTAGAGCTGGGGAAGAGCCAGGATTTGGTGTTTCAGACTTCTGTATCCGCTTGAGTGTGACTGTTGTCATGTAAAATAAAAGCTAGCTATATCTAGCAGACCTGAATGCATTTGTGTTCCTTTCATAGTGAATGATGGATTTCCTTTTGTTCTTGAACATGCCTTTTGCCTCTGCCTTTTGGAACAACAACAAAAAAGCATTGCATCTGAATGCATTGGGGCTTTGTTATTTATTTTAATGTTAGTGAAAGCCATGTATACAAATCTCCCATTGTGTGGTTATGCTCTGCTTGATTCTGAAGTAAACTGGGGGGGGGGGGGTAAATTGGGAAAAGAGCTGGTCCTGGGGTAATATTGGATGTTTTTAATCCCTGCCACCTGAAATGCATACAGAAGCTTACATTTAGTGGTAGCTGGCATTCAGCTCCATGCCCCACTGAAATCTGCAACACACAACAGAAAGCACCACAAGAGAACACTAGTAAATCAGATTTGTAATGGGCCCTTTAAAATTTTCTCCTTAAGGGATGACTATCTGGGTCCCCCCTTTGGCCAAAGTAGGATGCAGTCTGACAGTGCACAGAGCAGCTGCATGGTGACATTTTCTCTGGATACTAGTGAAAAATGGCTCCACATCTCTTCTGTAGAGATGGTCTCTGAGTAGCCACGCATTTCTCTGAAACAATTGTTTGTTCTAATCACTATGCTTTGCTGAGGCTGCCTGTCTGGTTAATTTCAGTTTCCTTGTTTGAAACCTCTGCTGTGTATTGTCAGGGATACTTGACTAGGAAGAGTGTGGTGGGGGTGGGAAAGGTTGTGGGCGTTTTTCTCCCCCCTTGAAGTAGGAACCCATGGCAATATGACTGCCTCAGTAGACAGGAAATGTTTATTACAGACGGGCTGTATGAATTCTGCCAACAGCACCACTTCCGACAGTATTAATGGAAAAGAGAAGTGTGTTTAAAATGTACGTGGCTTAGATAATGCACCACCCACTGGAAAGGTGGGGGTACAAAATGCAAAACAGCACTTACTGGGAACTGAAAGGCATAAGCACCAATCCTTAGAAGATGGTCAATTTCTGAATGGATAATCATGCTTTTATGATAACATCGCTGCTAGGGAATTCAAAAGGGAAAGCTCTTGGTCGCATACAACTAAACAGTGAGGAAGGGAGAGAGAAATCTTTCTTTTATTTTGCTTGAAGACAGACTCATTGATGAAAATCACTGAATCAAAGAGCTGTTGAGTGCTGGCAAACCTGAAGCATTGTTGTTGGTTTTGTCTATGTATTCTGGATAGCAGAAGCAGGAGGAGAGCTCTTATAAAAAGCACTGTGTTTAGGGAAAGGAAAGGTAGGGGGTGTAGCCTTGACTGCCTTCCCTTTCCTCCATAATGCCATGTGTGATATGATTTGCCAAGCTGTACTGGAGTTGGCTTAAGAGGAAATGGAATCTCCTTCCCACTCCTGCAGTGCCCAGAAAGAGTTAAAGCGTCACAATAAATAGCTACCAGGGAAAGAGTGGGCTAGAGAAATGGGATGGGTAGTGAGGACATGATATCCAAAAATAGTGGCTAGATAAATTGATGATTGATCTTTGAATGTGAAATTAGCATTTTATAAAAACACAAAGAATACTCAGTATCGAGGCTACAAAATGCAATAGTTTCTATTCAATTTCAGACATGACTGGCAGCAAGCAAGCAGTAATTTTCAGAGCTTCTATTCTCGTGGCACAAATGTGGTGCCAATTACTCAGTATAAAAGGCACAGCCCTTCAGATGGTTGTTTAGAAATGGTGTAATGTATCAGAACACTCTTCCCCAATGCATGTTTCAATTCGTTTCCACAGAACTAAAAGCCTGAAGGTGCACTGTGATTCCACTTCATCAGAGAAAATGGTGAAAATGGACCTCTAAGTGCACACATGCAGTCTGATTAATGCTTTTATAAACGTAGATAATTTCGCCATCATAAATGGCCTATTCAGAGGAAAGTGATGCAATTTACAAGGTGGGGAAATGTAAAAAGAGGATTCGATACTAGCCATCCTTTACGCCACCAGAGAAACAATAATGTCATGCCAACATTACACACCCCTTACAAACAGAATTTAAATAATGGGAACTGTGAAGGCATTCCAGATGCCTAATTTCAGCTGGCCATGTTTGAGCATCAAGCAGTGCAGCTGCAGCTTTGGATACTAGACAATCCAGTTGATTTCCAACTATGTATGTTCATAAGTGTAAACAATGAAAATAAAATGCTGCACAGGCAGAGATTAGTTTTCAAATTTGCACTCTTTGTATGGAAGGGTTTGACAAAGCTGAATACAGGCCCCCAAGAAAAGACAGAAAAACAAAGTGTCTGAGAACAAGCTCATTCTGAATAAAAGCAGGCAGACAAGGGCAAATTGTTGACTACCCAGAACATTCTGTTCATCACCAATGTGGTTGCAGTGAGGAATTGTTTATAGCAGAATGAACCATCCAAATCCATTTGCCCAGAAATGGAAGAGAAAATGTTGCATGTTCTCCTTTTCCTAATGTGCAAATTAGGTAGCTTTGCTGGGCATATTAACTCAGGCTGCAATCCAAAACACAATTATCTGGGAGTAAGTACTGTACATTGAATGTTATGGGACTTTCTTCTGAGTAGACATGTTGTATATGATTCCACTCCAGTCATGGCACTCCAGATGTTTACTTGGTAAAAGACATTTCCCATTCTTTCACATTTGCATGCTGAGTTGGGGGCAGTGTTTAGCATTAGATTTGGACATTTGAGAGGCCAGTTAGAAGGAAAGACCATCTTTAATGTGTTCCTTTTCATTTCCTATTACATTTAATGTTCAAAGATAGCAATTAAAAATGATTCCATTAAGTAAAGTTGCCTCTCCCTTTTTAAAGGCAACTTTGAAATGGCCAGTTTAGGTATTCCGAGAGACGATTCTATTCCTCAGATTAAAATCTTGGGCCTGGAGGAGTATCTTACTGCACATACTTCTCTCTCCACAAGTGGCCATACTCTGCTATAAAGTTTGCACCATCAGGCAGTAAAGCAGAGGCGGATTTAGGGGAACATGACCGATTTGGTTGCACTGGGCACAGAGCCTCGGAGGTGCCACAAGTATGGTGTAGAATGGAAGGCGGCTTGCTTGCTGGATTTTGACATTGCACATGGTGCTGCTGAAATTTGAGACCTCGGGGTCTGCCACTGAGTAAAGGCTTCGCAGTTAGGAAGCCATGCACTCAGATATAGTCAGAGCATTATATATAAAATCCAAAATGGACAAGTAAAATCAAGGTGTCTCTTTTTGTTGCCAGCAGGTATCGTTTTTATTTTTCTACAAATGAAGCTGTAGGAAAACCTTTTATCAGAGTGACGAATATTTGTAGGGCGACTCAGAAACCAGACAGAGCGGCTCCAAGGGCAGCCTGGGCCATTTGGCCATCTCTGTAGCAAAGCTTAGTGGATTAATCTGCCAGGTAAACCATCTACTGCTTGCTTCCCTAATATTGAATGACTTTTAAAGTCTTCCTTGTGACTGTCCTTGGGACAGTAAAGAGGTAAAAGCTTTTTTAGTAGTGCCTTGCTTCACAGACAGGTTTACTTTGTGAGAAAGAGCAGAGTGGACCTCAAAAACCTTGTGGCGTGCATCCTACCCCTCTGATAAGTCTTCCAGCTGAATGCATAAATGTTGGTGGGTCAGAACAATGACAGGCCAACATAATGACTCATTATGCAATAGGAAACAAAGGCTGCTTTCTCTTGCAGAACTAATATGTTTGGAGCATGGCAATACAGTAGACATAATTTTAATCATGGCATGCAGCTAGCCATCAGTTAATTAAAACAAGCAGATGATGGGACCATATTGTTAGTAGTTCAGCACTCCTTTAAAGCACTGGTGCTAGGAAACTTACAGCAAAAATCCAAATATGTGTATTCAGAACAAAGTTCCATTGGATTAATTAAAGTTTTCTCCTAGGTAACTGGTTATAGGATTGAAACCTTAATCTTCAAAAATCTTAGCATGAAGACGACAATAGGGCTGTTGTGTTTCTATGGATTTGTCAGAAGACCTTAGATGTGATGACTGGTGAGGAGGAAATCTGGTTGTAGGAAATCCAGCTGCTTGACTTCAACCCTCAACTTTGTATTTAACTGGAACTGAATAGCTTTTACATGTTTTTACATAAAAAAGGTTTAAAATGGGAAGTTCTCCGTGAATATAAGATATCGTAAATAATGCCACATTTTCTAAAATCTCTAGTCTTGTAATGCCTTGCTATGAAAACAACATGCTATTTTGCAGTTATGCAGCTTGATTTAGAATCAGATTAGATGACGTCATGTTATAAGTCCAGAGTAAAAATTGGTCTCTTGTGACATGTATAATTTGCAACCGAAAAATGTTGGTGCTACTAAGTGGCTAAATAAAGACAATTGCAGGAAATATTTTTCATTGTGCAGAAATTCAGCCTAAGGCCTTTGTACTTCAAGGATCTGATGTGCCACTATTGCTTGAAATGCTAGGCTAGAAGGACTATTTGTTTGATTCTAATGTAACTCATTGTATTTTTATCAGCTGATGTGCATTTGCTAAAGAGCATTCTTGCTCTTCAGTTATACAAAGTGTTTGTTGTCAGAATCAATATGCCTGACAATCAGGCATTGTTTGGAATTAGTCATAGTTGTATGCTGGCAAGTCAAAAAAAAGAAAAGGTAAAGGATCCCTGGACCCTTAAGTCCAGTCATAGGCGAATATGGGGTGCGGCGCTCATCTCGCTTCAGGCTGAGGGAGCTGGCGATGGTCCACAGAAATCTTTCCAGGTCATGTGGCCAGCATGACTAAACTGCTTCTGGTGCAACGGGACACCATGACTGAAGCCAGAGTGCATGGCAACAGCGTTTACCTTCCTGCCGCAGTGGTTCCTATTTATCTACTTGCACTTTGATGTGCTTTTGAAGTGCTAGGTTGGCAGAAGCTGGGACGGAGCAATGGGAGCTCACCCCGTTGCGGGGATTTGAACCACCAACCTTCCAATCAGCAAGCCCAAGAGGCTCAGTGGTTTAGACCACAGTGCCACACACTCCTCCTATGCTGGCATAAAGTAGATGTGTATATGTCTGTCTGTCTGTCTGTCTGTCTGTGTTACCTGACCGTGTGTGTGTGTGAGAGAGAGAGAGAGAGAGGCAGACAGACAGACAGACTTTCGGGGAGCTGCACAGCTCTACTTCTCCCACCTTTCCCCCAGAAGCTTGCAGGGATTGCTTCTGCCTAATTTGACAGGGTATCTCTTTACTTGTCAAGGCAGTATTCCGCTGAATGCCAGTTGCTAGAAATTTCAGGTGCTGTTGCGCTCATGTCCAGCTCGCAGGCTTCCCACAGGCATCTGGTAGTTCATTGGTTTGATCATCTTAGTTTGTTATGCTCTTCTCCTTCACTTCCAGACAACCTATTTAAAATGAGTAGTCATCCTGATTTCTTCACAGGAATATTAGGTGATGTTGGCTTTTTACTGAGCATTCATTCATATTTGTTTACAGAGAGGCTAGATCATGGTTTGTTAAAGCGAGTGTTATCCCACACTATCCATTGCATTTCCCAATTACAGTGGTGCCCCGCAAGACGAATGCCTCGCAAGACGAAAAACTCGCTAGACGAAAGAGTTTTCCGTTTTTTGAGTCGTTCCGCAAGATGAATTTCTCTATGGGCTTGCTTCGCAAGACGAAACATGTTGCGAGTTCTTGCGAGTTTGTTTCCTTTTTCTTAAAGCCGCTAAGCCGTTAATAGCCGCTAAGCCGCTAATAGCCGTGCTTCGCAAGACGAAAAAACCGCAAGACGAAGAGACTCGCGGAACGGATTAATTTCGTCTTGCGAGGCACCACTGTACAGTGGTACCTTGGTTTACGAAATTAATCCGTTCTGGAAGTCTGTTCTTAAACCAAAGCGTTCTTAAACCAAGGTGTGCTTTCCCATAGCAGCGTGGACTCAGTTTACAAATGGAACACACACAACAGGAAGTGAAACATGTTCTTATTCCAAGGCAAAGTTCACAAACCAAAACACCTGCTTCCGGGTTTGCAGCGTTCTTAATCCGAGTTGTTCATAAACTAAGCTGTTCTTAAACCAAGGTACCACTATATTTTCCTTATTGCAAAAACTCCCAAGTCAGCTTGAATTGTGCAACCTGAATTTGCTGGTAGAGATTGAATTGCACTCGAAAATGGCAACATGACATGCCCTTACCAAGGAAAACTGTGAGTCCTTGCAACATCATGTGGAAGTTTCCTTTCTCAAAAATTAGAAGCCCATGTAGATGGTTCACTGGCAACAAATTTTAGGAGTGGCTCGTCCATGACTGCACTTGCACCCCTTCTTTTTGACTGTAATGACAATCATATATGTAGCACATTTTGGGGCACCTACTGAGGCCCATTCTTCACAAGTGCGAAATGAGCAAGCACTGAGAGAAGTAAGGAAGGCACAAGTAGCAATCATGGCATGCTTTGTTCTTTCCTTTGGGAGGTGCTATGGACTGGGATTAGAGGGAGATGCAAGCAATGAGGTAGTTACAACTGTGCACTTGGGATGGGGTGTCCATTGGTACCAATACAATATGTCATCCTTTCTTCTCCACTCCCCCAGCTCTTTAATCAATTAACATAGCACTGAATCATTCCCCACTCTTTCTCACACACAGTATATAAAGTTCTATATCTATCTATATACAGTGGTACCTCGGGTTACATATGCTTCAGGTTACATACGCTTCAGGTTACAGACTCCACTAACCCAGAAATAGTGCTTCAGGTTAAGAACTTTGCTTCGGGATAAGAACAGAAATTGTGCTCCGGTGGTGCGGCGGCAGCAGGAGGCCCCATTAGCTAAAGTGGTGCTTCAGGTTAAGAATAGTTTCAGGTTAAGAACGGACCTCCAGAACAAATTAAGTACTTAACTGTATATGAGAGAAATAATTTATGTTGATTCCCCTTTTTTATCTGGTTGAGTTTCTTAAACTCTCAGAATGTGAGACATTATTCCCAGCAGACATTTATTGTACTATGTCATTACTCACTTGCAAATGAATACACACA